AATAAGATATATCGAGTGCTTTCCGGTCCTGCTAAGGTACATGTACTTTACCGAATAGCAATATAGTTTATCAAAGTAATACATGAAAACTTTATTTTATTGATTTGAAAGTGTTACCAATCGATTTATTATATCAAAATCTTCCAGACAACATGTTTTTATAATTATAATATGATTATTATAACGATTATTTAGGAAAATAGATATATCGAGTGCTTTCCGGTCCTGTGAAGTTACATATACTTTACCGAATAGCAATTTAATTTCTCAAACAATCACATAAGATCTTTGTTTAATTGTATTGTAAATGTTACCAATCGATTTATTAGGTATGATACAGTATTATTTCATGTTTTATTCTAAATTCTATGATTATTTAAAAGATTTATGAATGTTAAATAAATTGAGAATGCTTTCCGGTTTTGTTAAGTATATGTACATTACCGAATAGCACTCGAATTTTCCATAAAAAAAAACGTACAACCTTCATTGTATTGAATTGAAAACGTTACCAAAAGATTTATTAGGAAAAAATATCCCAGACATTATTTTTTTATAATTATTATTACGAATAAAAAAGTTTAAAATAGAAATTATTATTAAAATAGATATATCGAGTGCTTTCCGGTCCTGCACATTCCATTATTGCTTTCCGGTCCTGTGAAGAAAATAATAGTAATACATCACCGAAAAGCACTGGTCCTCTTACCTCAGACATACCGATGGTATATAAATATTTAAAATGTATGTACCTTGTCTAATATATTAATATATTTATTTTTTGTAGGCTATATGGAAGACAAGAGGATTCAAAATAGCAGGAAGAGAAGAACAATATTTTTTTCAGTGATGTTTTTTTTAATTTTTGACAATAAACAGTGCAATAAATAAAAATAAACGAAACTAATTACTAAGAACAAAATAAACAGATATAAAACAATACGAATACGAATACGAAAAGTTTATTTGTATAAAGCATAGTACAATGCTTATAACAAGTATAAATTGTAATATATACAATGTTTGGAGATCAAAACATGGATTTTTCCAGCAAACATAAGATGTTTCATGGAATATTATGTTCAATATTCAATATGATATTTAACATGTTTAATATATATGTTGCGCTTGCATGCATAAGTTTCAAATAAACAGACGCCCACCTACAATATCCTGAATAGTCTGCACTTAACTTATTCTATCATTTTCTAAAATATAAAGACATGAAGAACACTAAAGTCCTTTAGACTAAAAGTAATATTCACTGTTGCAAGTCAGTTCTTTTGAAAGATATACATGCAAACGCAAACATCTTAAACAATAAGTTATGGTTCGAATATATTTCATTTTCAAATATTACTAGAAGAGATATTATGAAATACGTTGTCTATTTGCTAAGTAAATAAATTTAGACAAAGCACAATATAGTTTTCATAGAATTAGAAGACATTAGGCTACCGAATTTTATAACAAGTATTAATTGTAATATATACAATGTATGGAGATCAAAACATAGATTTTCCAGTAAACATAGGATGATTCATAGAATATTATGTTTAATATTCAATATTTAACATGTTTAATATATATGTTGCACTTGCATGCATAAGTTTCAAATAAACAGACGCCAATCTACAATATCCTGAATAGTTTGCACTTAACTTATTCTGTCATTTTCTAAAATATAAAGACATGAAGAACACTAAAGTCCTACAGACTAAACGTAAAATTCATTGCTGCAATTCAGTTCTTTTTGAAAGATATACATGCAAACCTCTTCAACAATAAATTATGGTTCAAATACAACCTTTCATTTTCAGGTATATTACAAGAGATATTATGAAATGCGTTGTCTATTTGCTAAGTAAATAAATTTAGATAAAGCACATATAGGTTTCTTTGAACAAGAAGACATTAGGTTATCAAATTTTATAACAGACGGCCAGTGACAATAATAGGGTTTAAAAAACTTTTCCTTAATTCTCTATAACGTAGACACAGACTAACAGAAAATTATACTCTGTTTCAGGTTGTCTCATGAAACAACATTTACATAATTATTCTTTCTGATCTTGGTATGTTTTCATATTGACCAGATTCTACACATAAGTTATGTGATGACGTTCTAAATTTAGTAAGAGCAATTCTATGATTTTTGTCTGTAATTAAATCAAAATACTTTTCACAATTAAAATCATGTTTAAAAATGCTATAAGTTTGCAGGCGACCAGAATTGTTTATATCAGTATACCACTTCTGTATAAAAGTATCTATAATTCGTTGTCTGATAATGACAAAGGGAATATCTATATCAAACTGGTTAATCCATACATACGCTAAACCATGGGTTGTTAAAATGTTTTTAATACAAAAAGCCCAGTTTTTTGAGTTATATGTATTCCCAGAATCAACATCTTGCTTAAGCATTGAATAAACTTTTTTAACAATCTCTGTATCGTCAAGCTTAATAATTTTCACCCAAAACTTAATCATCTTAATTTGTCTCATCACAGAAAAACAGAACTTAGCAAACATATATACATACATAATTGAAAAATAAGTATGATATTGAAATCAATCAAGGCACACTTCACGCCTCGTTTATTACACGGGCACACGCTGATAAAATTGAACGGACACACGCTGATTTAATTATCACATTTAAAGAGGTGTAAATAATACACAATAGCTGGATGTATTTAACTGATTGATTATTGGAGGTATTATATATGATATTGAAATGTACGTCATTTATACTTAAAATTTAATTATATTTACAAACAGTGATGTGTTCAAAACAAAATCCACAAATATATAACTATCTCATTATTATATACATATAAAACTACAAAATATATATACATAGGCAGACCCCTAGATTTTTTTTATTTAATATTAATATCAATGCATATTATATTATGGTAAATCCATTTCAGTTCGAGTATGGGCTAGACTATAGCCTGATGAGCATAAATGACATCTTAAGACACACTCGAACCTACTATTGCGGTCGTGATATTAATTTTATATAATATACATTGATATTGATACTTAATATTTATGTTCAACATATTTTTTCCAACATAAATTTTCAGGCACTGTGAAGAAGAAAAAAATGTTTGCAACGTACGTATGAAAAATTTGCAATTCCAGACAACAAAAATGAATGTCATGTCAATGTCATCGGTCATAGATAAATATCAATACATAATATATTGTGTTGTAGTATATAAGTAATAAGAGTAAATTTTAATAGCACCTTGATATAAAGTTCTAAGAGATTTCGTATATATCCGTTACAAACATTTCTTTTCATGAGTGCCGTAATAAAACATTCTTTTCATGAGTGCCGTAATAATCTTCATTAAACAAAATTAATTTTTATATCAAAAGAGTGTGTAGTTAATTGCATTTTCTAATTATCTAATTTAATGTGCATGTAAAGGACAGTGTCTAATTAGTGCAACTTTGATGTGCAGGTCGGTACTCTCAATTATCATAATTGTGTACAAATTGATTAAATCATCACCTTTTTGTGCTACAATATACAAGGTCTTTAATCAGCACGGATTAGCACGTGTGATAAACAATACAACAACTACTGTCCTCCACTGATGACCACATTGCTTTTCGGTACACATAGTATGGTAAAAATAAAGACATAACTGAACGAAAATTTATAAGTTTTTCTTTATTTAACATAATATAAAAATATAATAATAAAAAATATGGTTCAATGCTTTGAATAACTTATTGGTACTTTTTACACATCCTCTTTCTGTCCTTCACACAACCTATAAAATATTACAAATATGATACATTGATATATGGTATGAGCAAGATTGAAAAATCGTGTAACTAATCATAATATTTATAAATGAAATAAGTTCAACTTAATTGATCAATTTATAACACTTTCACATAATTAATATGAAGGATAAGTGTGATTTATATAAATATTCGAGTGCTATTCGGTAAAGTAGATGTACTTTAGCATTACCGGAAAGCAATCAATACAACTTTGTAACAACTTTGAAAATCGCGTAATGAAACATAAAATATTTATAAAAACGTCATGATATACAGATCTTCAACTACTAAATGGATTGGTAACACTTTCAAACCAATAAAATAAAGTTTTCATGTATTAATTGGATAAACAATATTGCTATTCGGTAATGTACATGTATCTTAGCAGGACCGGAAAGCACTCGATATATCAGTTTTCCTAAATACTCGTAATAATTATCAATATATATTTATAAAAACATGTTGTCTGAAAGATTTTGATATAATAAATCGATTGGTAACACTTTCAAACCAATAAAATAAAGTTTTCATGTATTACTTTGATAAACTATATTGCTATTCGGTAAAGTACATGTATCTTAGCAGGACCGGAAAGCACTCGATATATCTTATTTTCCTAAATAATCGTAAAAATAATCATAATATAATTACAAACACGTGTTGTCTGAAACATTTTTATATAATAAATCGATTGGTAACACTTTCAAACCAATAAAATAAAGTTTTCATGTATTACTTTGATAAACAATATTGCTATCCGGTAATGTACATGTATCTTCACAGGACCGGAAAGCACTCGATATATCTATTTTCCTAAATACTCGTAATAATTATCAATATAAATTTATAAAAATGACTTGTCTGAAAGATTTTGATCTAATAAATCGATTGGTAACACTTTCAAACCGATTAATTAACGTTTTCATATGTTTTTATGAGAAATTTGAGTGCTTTCCGGTATTTCGGTGCTATCCGGTGCTTTCCGGTTTTTCTATGCACCGCTAACAAAGCATCACCCAAACACTCATTTAAAAGGGAATTCCTTAAATTTCGAATAAATCAATCATTTTACTCTACAGTAATGTAAACTTTATCATTCAAATTATCAAGATGCTTTTATTTGATAATGTATCATCTCGTAAATAATCTTCATCATAGAGAAATTGATCATTTTAAACAATAATTCTTACCGGCGAAAACTGACTTGCAAATTTAACGGAAGCGGAAATTGATACTAAACGGGATAGTCTAAAACAAATATTTGAAATAAATAAAGACGTTGTCATCTTAGTAACTGTGTTCCAAACTTCAAACTGTTCTTTTCTCACATTTTACGATCCAGATCGAGAAACATATGATTTTGTCTTTATTCAACCGTTAAAGACCCTAAGGCTGTGGAGGAGGTATTGGGATAAGTTTGAAGATACTACAAGTGCATAATTATCCGTGCTAAATTTACCAATTTCTAGTACTGTCCGAGGATGATAACTTGAGCCTTTGTTTACATAACAAAGACCAATCTACATCTACATCTACATTGTACGTCGGCGCAATCACACTTGATTATGACGCGACGGGTGGTGCTAGGTCAAGAAAAAGAAATATACAAGAAATGATAGAAAGTAAGAAGAGGTTGGATAGTACAAAGGTAGAGATATAGATAAAAAGTATGGCCAGCTATATTTCGCCTCTTCAACCCAAACCTCTCCGGTTACGGTGGCCGCTGCCGGCACAGCCTTGGATATCACTAGTGGGTACTTGTAGCTGGGCCCCTAAGGCGATTTAGAATGTGAGGGCTGATAACCCCTGCTTGAAGGATACCAAGTCAGGGGCCTCTGCAACGGAGGCAGGTAAGCTGTTCCATATTGTGGCTGTACGAGGGAAGAAGGAGTTATAACAATGCGAAAAATAGGTTAGGCAGATCAATGCCACAACCTATAAAAATGAAAATAAAACTACAAGTTATCATGTGTCTTGTTAGCGCAGTAGGTAGAGCAACCGTGTCAGTATTATGTTTTACCCATACATGCAGAAGTTCGACTGCTTGTAAGAAACGTTTTTTTTACCTCAGAAAACCGTCAATTGTTCAGAAAACAACTTTGACCGTTTTTTTCATACATATAGAATATGAGTTCGAATATTTTAATTAAACACCGCGATCAAATAAATACAAAAGAAAATAGAATAGAAATAAAAGATTAATATAAATTATACTATAAAATATATATTATAAGAAGAAAACAAAAAGGAAAACGAAAAATAAATAAATAATAATGATAAAAAACAGAGCAAAAAGAAAAAAAACTGTGGTTATAAAAGGCACTACGTGGGGATCGAACCTATGAGTACAAACACTAGAAGTGCCAATAACTTCGATCTACCGACAGAGCCATGAAGGTCATACACCAACGATACTATAAGAAAATTGCTATATAGTATATGTAAGTGTTTACTTTTACGATATCGGATAATAATCCAGATAACCCCGTTTTTGTACTTTCCCATGTACCGTTAAGACCAAATTATCATCTTAGGACAGTAGATCTAGTGCTTGTGGACTATATTTTGGCTATGTCTCAAAATAAATAAGGTGGATATTGACCATTGTAAGTAAGGCTATTACACAATTTGTCTTTTACTTATATTTTTCGAAATTTGCCATGGCAACACTATTTCAACTGGAAAAAGAATTGGAGCTATTTCAAAATTAATATTAGTTAATAATATTCTATGGAAAAATATGTACTCATTACTCCACTTTTGCTATGAAATTATTTCATTTGACTATATGTTGTCATAGCAGTTGTTGCTGAAGAAGTCTATGGATGCTATGGAAGTCAATGGTTGTAGTGGAAAGTCACTGGTTGCTATGGACAGTTAGTGGTTGCTATGGAAGTCAATCAGGTTACTATGGAAAGATAATGGTTGCAATATTGGTCACTGGTTACCATGGCTAGTCAAAATTTGCCATGTAAAGGCAGTTTGCTATGGAAGTCAGCGGTTGCTATGGAAATTAATGGTTGCTATGGAGTCAATGGTTGCTATGCAAGTCACTGATTGCCATGGAAATTTATGATTGCTTTGGAAAGTCAATGGTTTTTATGGGTGTTAATGGAGTCACTAGTTGCTTTGAGAAATCACATACAAGGAAAATAACGACCACCTGGGCGGGGCCAATTTTGACACAGGGATTTTATTTGAAAAATCTTGGTAGACACACACGAGATGTTTTATGCAAATTATATAAGCTCTAACTCTGGGTTTTTAGAAGATTTTTTAAGTCTTTTCTTTCTGTTGCCACAGCAACCAGAATTTTGCATGAAATGGAATTCTTTGAATTTTTTTTAAAGATCTTCATGCCAGGACTATTTCTGCTTAGGTTTAACAATATTGGCCTATTGGTATAAAAGGAGATGTCGTTTTAAGAAAACAACACATGCAGTCATCCCAAGCTCACACTTGAGCACAGGTGAGCTAAAAAAATTGTAGGTTATCTTTAGTAACAATGCTCTTGACCTCAAAAACAGTCCCAACCTGGGTCTCCACAAGTTTAATATATACCAAGTGTGATTTCAATATCTCATTGCTACCTACATGTAGTTATCATCTGGGAACCATTTTTGTATTTAAAGTAACGATGATCTTGACCCCAGGGGGTCCAAAAGCAATCCCAATTTGGGTCTTCATGCAAGTTTGCTATATACAATATCTCATCCTTAGTCTGGAAATCATTTTTCTATTTTTAGTAACAGTGACCAAGAAAATGTACATGTGTAGTTAACATTCCAGTTGCAACACAACATTATTTTACTGTGTAACTCTATGTTCACCAGTCAGTAATGTAAGTTTAGAAACAAACTGTCGACACATCATAATTAGATACAGGTCATATAATTTCATGGACCAAGGACAAAGCCTCCAGGTAAAACCAGTCGTCTACAATTCTTTACAGTACACAGATTTTATTCAAAATGGTTTTGATATACAGAAGCATACAACATTAAACTGATATCCCTGTGCTTGCAAGATATAATGGTGAATTGTCTGCCAAATTCAGAACAAAACAATAATGTTTAGATGAAAAATGTTTTTATTTCATTTCTAGTTATTTGCAAAATGTTTGACATAAAAATCTGTTTCAATATATATGCACAATTTATAACCTGAACACCATCACAATTTTATTTCATCCATAGAAACAGTTTCAAAATTCATAAAAATATTATAAATGAAAAATGTTTACAAACAAAAGATTTTATTTATTCAAAATGCACGTTACTGGTATCAAAAACGAGGAATAACAAAAAGATTTTTTTTCTCCCTTTCCTCAACATTTGTTTTTTTATATATGGCAAAATTCCAGCTTAGAGGAAGAACACATGCGCCTTCTTTTGTAGAATTTTACAAGACATAGTCAATCATACTCATTAAAAACTTCCTCACAAGGATGAATTTAATAAATCCAACAACTGGCCTATTAACTACTGATGTATGGCAACATTTTCAATTCCAACATATAGAGTATACAATACACAATTCAACTGAACTCACCGTCACAGTTCAAATTTATTTACCATCAAATTTTTGTTTCCAAAAACACCTTTTTTCTCAAATGCTCTATTTTTAACAACTTTCTCGCAAGCACTTCCATTGCCATAGTGTACTAAATATATAGTAACAAATTCTAAAAGAACATTGTTTAAGTATCAACCTTGCAGACAAATAAAATAATTTTGTTCTTGTCTTAATCTGTTTATCACACTTTGCAAGTCTATGGGTCAAAATTGGAAATTTCAGTTATCTTGAAAATTGTTGATTCAGCATTTTTTAAATAGCTTTATACAGAGGGGCACTTTGGAGAATAATCCTGAAAACTTACACCTGTAGAGAGTATAAATCTTATACAGCACAATCAAATTACTGGGAAACAAGTTATTCATATTAGTAACCTTTAATAGGGTCTCTTTACAAAAAAATATTTGTCTAAATTTTATGAGATATATTATAATACATGTCAAACAAATAACACAAACATAATTTGTAATTTGATCAATCACTCTTGATCGCATCTGTATTTCATCTTAATTTATCAACAATCCATGTCAAAATATGACTTGTCAATTGAGTAGTTTCAACAGACATAATTCTGAAAATAAATAAAGATACTACAGAAGTTCCGATGTAATTAAGTTTTGTCAGCAATGTCTTTATTAGAACTCTTCAGATTAGGAAAACAACGTCATCAGCTAACATCAATTGATTTGCGTCCATCATTTTTTCAATAGCTCCATAAACCTCGTCCTCGGTGAAATCTGCACCCATGTGACCTTTAACCTTGTCTATCTCCACAGACTGTGCATGCTCGGATTTAAACAAGTCAAACAGTTTAGCTCTAAAAGTCTTCAATCTGAAAAATTTCATTACATGAAATTAATTATGTTTTCCTGAAAGCAATGTGTAAAGAATGAACTGGTACAACAATGATTTAAAGCCAGCTTTAGTACTGAAATTCATACAAAAATATGATTTCCAAACTTATTTAACTACAATTAACTTCAAATAGAGTAATCTGGACAAAAGGCTCTATACCACTGGCTCATCATTTTCACCATTTTTCCTTGATAACAAGTAATAATGTATTTCTACGAAAGTAATAGACAACTAATCCCACATGATAATCAGTGTTAAGAGACAAATGACCATTAGACTCCATGTCCAGGATAAATGGTAACACAGTATCCCCAGAGGATTTGTTTACACAGAATTTATTTTAGTTACATTGTGTAGGAAGCTATAAGCTTATAGACACACTTTCAAATCTGTTACTAGAACCAACCAATACTGAGCAATAAGTGAAAAGTTTCTTGCTCAAGTGAACAACTTGCCTTGGACTGGGTTTGAACCCATGCAGCCATAAGATTACTAGTCTGACATGTTTATCACTCAACCATGCCACCAACAACCACAATGCACTTCATATCGAACTAAGTGGGCAGACATTGATGATCAAGTATTCATTACCCTTAACAATATCAGTTACATCAACAACTACAAATTATGAAATACAGTCATACTTCTTTTCATCCACATGTTTACTTCCAGATTTTCCGGTGTCCATTGTCTCACTTTCTTGGCTTTGGCCGCGTGGCTTCCTTCTAGGTCTTTCTGGCTGGCCTGAAAACAGAAAACACTTTCATCATAAGTATCTAAACAAAGAAAGCATAATCTAAAGGCTGTAACTTGCCTGCAACCAAATGTACTATCAAGTTTCCCCTATGCAATACAGAGAATTATATGCTCTTACATACTGGGGAGAACACTCTTCAAACTGTTGCTTCTACTTTTAACTCCCATTTATGTGAATATTGTAATTTACAAGCACAATGGTCATCAAATGCTCCAACTTGGAAGGACCCATTGTCTCCTCTGTATTCTTCTCCTGTTCCCTCCTTGCCAGTTGTAAAATGCCGGTAACCACAGCACCACAACAGTGCCAAAATGCTATTAAGTTCAAATCTTGGTCAATATTGTGGTACCATGGTTATCACAAAATCATTACCATCGTGATCTGAACTCCTGTTACAGAAGCACCTGCAATGATGATCCTCAGCAAATTGTAGTCTTCAAACCTCTGGAACAGATTTGTTTCGCTCACTGTCCTTGGTACATATGAAAGTTTGTCTTCATTTTTTAGCACTTTTCAGGCAGCAACAACCATTCTGCAGTGTATTTACTTTCCATTCTGATTTCCAAATATTAAATGGTCTAGCCAACAACTTCCAACTGGATATTCCAAGATGAAAATCTGCCAAAACATTCGGAGTTTCTTTGAAGTGAATTGCTTAATTTAACAAGAGGGCCCTGAGGTCGCTCACCTGTATATACGCCCCCCCAACCACCACCCCCCCCCCCAACGTTGCAGGGTCAATTTAACCAAGGGCTTTTACTTGCACAAACTTGGTAGACACCCATAAGAAGATGTTTCATGCTAAACATCTAAGCTCTAGCTCATTGGGCTTTTTAAAAGAAATTTTTTTTAAAGTTTTTACTATACACATATAGTTAAAAACAATGACACCCCAGGGGCCGGGCCAGTTTTGACCCCAGGGCTTTTATTTGAACAAACTTTGTAGACACCCATAAGAAGATGTTTCATGCTTAATATCTAAACTCTAGCTATTTGGGTTTTTTCAAAGAAGATTTTAAGTTTTTTCTATACACATATAAAGAAAATCAATGACGGGGCGGGGCCAATTTTGACCCAAGGTCTTTTATTTGAACAAACTTTGTAGACACTCACTAAAAGATGTTTCATGCTTAATATCTTAACTCTAGCTATTTGGGTTTTTTCAAAGAAGATTTTTTAAGTTTTTGCTATACACATATAAGGAAAATCAATGACCCCGGGGGCGGTGCCAATTTTGACCCCAGGGCTTTTATTTGAACAAACTTGGTAGACACCTATTAGAACATGTTTGATGCTAAATATCTTAGCCATAGCTCTTTGAGTTCTTTAAAAGAAGATTTTTTAAGTTTTTACTATATGCATATAGGGAAAATCAATGGCCCCCGGGGCGGGGCCAATTTTGACCCAAGGGCTTTTATTTGAACAAACTTGGTTGACACTTATTAGAACATGTTTCATGCTAAATATCTTAGCTCTAACTCTTTTGGTTCTTTAAAAGAAGATTTTTTAAGTTTTTACTATATGCATATAGGGAAAATCAATGACCCCCCGGGGCGGGGCAATTTTGACCCTAGGGCTTTTATTTGAACAAACTTGGTAGACACCCATTAGAACATGTTTGTTGCTCAATATCTTAGCCATAGCTCTTTGAGTTCTTTAAAAGAAGATTTTTTAAGTTTTTACTATATGCATATAGGGAAAATCAATGACCCCCCGGGGCGGGGCCAATTTTGACCCCAGGGCTTTTATTTGAACAAACTTGGTAGACACCCATTAGAACATGTTTCATGCTAAATATCTTAGCTCTAGCTCTTTGAGTTCTTTAAAAGAAGATTTTTTAAGTTTTTTCTATATGCATATAGGGAAAATCAATGACCCCCCGGGGCGGGGCCAATTTTGACCCCAGGGCTTTTATTTGAACAAACTTGGTAGACACCCATTAGAACATGTTTCATGCTAAATATCTAAGCTCTAGCTCTTTGGGTTCTTTAAAAGAAGATTTTTAAAGTTTTTACTATATGCATATAGGGAAAATCAATGACCCCCCGGGGCGGGGCCAATTTTGACCCCAGGGCTTTTATTTGAACAAACTTGGTAGACACTCACTAGAAGATGTTTCATGCCAAATATCTAAGCTCTAGCTCTGATGGTTTTTTAAAAGATATTTAAAGTTTTTTCTTTTGGTTGCCATGGCAACCAGAGTTCTGCATGGAATTAAATTCTTTGAACAATTTTAAAGGTGACCACCAAAGGAACATTCCTGTGAAGTTTGGATGAAATTGGCTTAGTGGTTTATGAGGAGATGTCATTTAAAGTAAAAGTTTACGGATGGACGATGGACGGACGCCGGACGAAAAGCGATCACAAAAGCTCACCCTGTCACTTTGTGACAGGTGAGCTAAAAACAGTAATGTAAAAAATCTGTATTTCTTAATTTTCTAACAAAGAACTAACAACTTATACAATTATGAAGTCCATCACAACTTACTTTCATCTGCAGATGCCTCGTCTTCTTCAAAATCATAGGGATCATATCCTTCTTCCCCTTCCTTCCTTATAGGACGCTTCTCACCTGCTGCTTTCCTAAAATTAACACAGGCATTTCAATTACTGGAAATATGCTTCTGTTAAAACCCTTCATATATGCAAACCCCATACTAATAATTGAAATAATACGGTTGTTTGAACAGTGTCATGCAAAAGTGTAAAGACAATACGAAACACACCAATGTTTTTAAATTTAATTATGCATTTAAATTGCGTAATGAATTTATATCTTAAATCTGATCATTACCTTAAGCTAAGTATATTTCAGAAAAAACATTATTTTTTTTGCCAGTGTCTGTATTTATTTTTTTTTCTCATGATTTCATATTTTGGATTCAAGTCATTACTTTACAGGTCATAAAATAGCTTGTGGAGGGAGACCTCAAGTGCTCCCTTGTTCTTCCTTTCTTGCATCAAAAGTAGAACACAAACCTTCTGTCATCTACTTGCTAGATAGCTAGCTTCCTCATAGGGATGTCTCTTAAAAGCAACAGTGAAAGGCAACCAATAAGAATCTGCAACTTTCCCACATTAAGCTTACAAAAAACAAGATATGTTTGTAAAACATGTATGCCCCCTATCAGCAGCCAATTAGTCATGTGATAAGGTTATTATGACTTCTGACCCAGTGATCAAACAATTAATAAGGGTTATCAAGTATCTACTGGTCATAACCTTAACCTTTGACCCCTTGACCCAAAACTCAATAGGGGTCATCTGCTGGTCACGACCAATCATCATACAAAGTTTGAAGTTCCTAGGCCTAAGCGTTTTTAGTTAATTGATCGGAAACCGTTTTAACATACAAGGTCAATGTGACCTTGACCTTTGAACCCTTGACCCCAAAATCAATAGGTCATCTGCTGGTCATGACCAATCACCATACCATGTTTGAAGTTCCTAGGCCAAAGGGTTCTTAAGTTAAAGATTTGAAAGCATTTTTACCTACAAGGTCAAAGTGACCTTGCCCTTTGACCCCTTAACCGCAATATCAATAGGGGTTATTTACTGGTCATGACCAATAATCATACCAAGTTTGAAGTTCCTAGGCCTAAGGGTTCTTTAGTTATTGATCGGAAACTGTTTTTACCTACAAGGTCAATGTGACCTTGACCTTTGACCCCTTGACCCCAAAATCAATAGGGGTCATCTACTGATCATGACCAATCACCATATCAAGTTTGAAGTCCCTAGGCCTAAGGGTTCTTTCGTTATTGATCGGAAACCGTTTTTACCTACAAAGTCAATTTGACCTTGACCTTTGACCCCTAAACCCCAAAATCAATAGGGGTCATCTGCTGGTCATGACCAATCACCATACCAAGTTTGAAGTTCCTAGGCCTGAGGGTTCTTTCGTTATTGATCGGAAATCGTTTTTACCTACAAGGTCAATGTGACCTTGACCTTTGACCCCTTAACCCCAAAATAAATAGGGGTCATCTACTGGTCATGACCAATCACCATACCAAGTTTGAAGTTCCTAGGCCTAAGGGTTCTTTTGTTATTGATCAGAAACCGTTTTTACCCAAGAGGTCAATGTGACCTTGACCTTTGACCCCTTGACCCTAAAATCAATAGGGGTCATCTACTGATCATGACCAATCACCATACCAAGTTTGAAGTTCCTAGGCCTTAAAGTTCTTTAGTTATTGATCGGAAACCGTTATTGCTTACAAGGTCAATGTGACCTTGACCTTTGACCCCTTGACCCCAAAATCAATAGGGGTCATCTACTGATCATGACCAATCACCATACCAAGTTTTAAGTTCCTATGCCTTAAAGTTCTTTAGTTATTGATCGGAAACCGTTTTTGCTTACAAGGTCAATGTGACCTTGACCTTTGACCCCTTGACCCCAAAATCAATAGGGATCATCTACTGATCATGACCAATCACCATATCAAGTTTGAAGTTCCTAGGCCTTAAGGTTCTTTAGTTATTGATCGGAAACCGTTTTTGCTTACAAGGTCAATGTGACCTTGACCTTTGACCCCTTGACCCCAAAATCAATAGGGGTCATCTACTGGTCATGACCAATCACCATACCAAGTTTGAAGTTCCTAGGCCTTAAGGTTCTTTAGTTATTGATCGGAAACCGTTTTTGCTTACAAGGTCAATGTGACCTTGACCTTTGACCCCTTGACCCCAAAATCAATAGGGGTCATCTACTGGTCATGACCAATCACCATACCAAGTTTGAAGTTCCTAGGCCTAAGGGTTCTTTAGTTATCACTCGGAAACCATTTGGTCTACGGACCGACGGACCGACAAGTGCAAAGCAATATACCCCCTTTTCTTCGAAATGGGGGCATAATTACAATAATAATGCATGCAATATTACATACTGTTTTTTCTTTGCAGGTTTATCAGTTTGACTGTCAGTCTCCATTTCATCTTGACTACTCTCTCCCTCATCTTCACCATCACTACGATGACGTTTACGCTGTTTCTTCTCCACCTATAATATACACACAATACTTGACAAACTTGAAACTTAATGTTGATTGGTTAATATGCATTATCAAATGATTTTAATCAACTTAATAAAGCAATGTCCTAAATGGAACACCAAGAAAATTGTTATAACAGTTAATTGGCTTTCTTTGCCATATTTGTTTTGGGTTGAGTTTCATCTCTTAGCCCAAAATAAGCCAGCACATCCCAGCACTGTTAATCTCTTGCTAAATATTCTGAAATTTCCCTAAAAATGATCAACTGGTTTTGTCTGGATTAAATGACAGGTAAGTCCAAGTCCAATAAGAGAATTAGCACACCAAATCTGACAGTCATAATGCGGCCTATCCAGCTTCACTAGTGGACCAAAAACCTCAGTCTCTCCATGTATTATTTTTCTAGCAAGATGATTTCCTCAAATAGGATGCAAGGTGAAGATTTGATTGATACATCTTAAAACTTAGGTTCATACCATTCATTTATCTTAAGCCAGGACATTCAATAATTTATATAGAGATTATAGTTACCTTAAAAACATGCAATATATAGATTATAGTTACCTTTTTAAAGTAAGCAAATTCAATCAACTCCACTGCAGCCTCGGCATCAACGAGATCTACTGTTTTAGAGAGACGACATTTGGCATGTGCTGTTGACAGACGGATCATTGTTTCTAATGTTCTTGCTGTAACTGGGGCAGTCTACAATTTACAATTTGGAAACACATTAAAATTTAATCCAACAATTAACTTATATACCAAATAAAGAACAAGTTCAAGTCAATTTTATTTCTATATATCTTTATCGATTTAACTTTTCAGTTTTACACAGCTTAATTTGGTTATAACCTTCCCCTGCTATGTATCATTAACAGGTATAAAAGTTCATTTTTTTCTCCCTTTTCTTTTTTTCACCTTCAAATTTCAATTTCAAAAATAGTAAAATTTAATATCCATCTATAAAGCCAGGATTTAAAAGCAGCTGGTAAGCATCTTACAATGACATAAGCAAATTGTTATAGCCAATTCCTCTAAAAGGTGTTTTCTTTGATTGGTGTTTTATGAAATCTTTGCCAATTCAACAATTTGAAAGTGGTAATTTTGCCTGTAACTTTTATTGTTGAAATATGGTGCACAAGTAAAGAATTACCACAACTCGGCAGAATTAAGACTTACCCTAGCTATATTATCCTGTGACATGCTGTCATGACTACGTAACTTGGTGTATTCCTCGGCTAGCAACTCAGCAGCAGGTTGAGTTAAGCCAGGCTTCAATGCTTTAGCTACATGTATATACTTCCTCATAAATCCCATACTGACTATCTTCTGTCTGTAAAACAATGTGTTCAGTGTAGATAATGGAGAGTACAACAAATGCGGTTTTTATTTGTTTCATGTAGTTAATGAACTGGTTAAGTGTCAGTTTTTAATAGTATTTCACAAGAATTAGAAGTTGCCAAACTATCGTTTTGGATTATGTACCAGCACTAACCTGTTTTTCCATGCAACTGATTCTCAAGAATCACTTCAAAAGGCAGTGAGGGACAAATGGTTTTTAAGATGTTTTTTTGTCAACAAAATAGACCAAAAGAGCCACATTTTGCAAACAGGTCTTGAACTTACCAGTCTGCACCCTTAAACCTAACGATCTGTCACTTTGGTAACTGGACAGACCATATTGTAACGATACACATGACAAAATCAAAATTTAAAATCTGCTACATTACTTCAACTCACTCACCCCTCCATCTGAAGCTGGACAGACTGCATGCAGCATGCTGATTTAGCTCTATACTAGTGGTAAAGACTAATCAAATTCAGGAACAAGGATAGTCACATACATATACACTTTCATATTGTTTTTTTTTTAGTTGTAAAATGAAATCTAATTAACAACTACATACTGTTTAGATTTTGCTGGCCCATGCAAGAGTTTGTCATGTTTCTCATAAATAGGTGTCTCGGTGTCGTCTTTCTCCTCCAAGTCAGGATCTGTTGTAGCAAGCATGTCAACTCCAGTACCCAATGGTAAAGCTAGAAATGTAACAGGAAATACATAGTGCTGGTAGTTTTATATGCTACGAAAATTTATTAAATCAGAATTTTTGGGAAATCATGTTCGATATTTGGCTTTGGCAACCTGGACTTTATAATATAAATCTGACAAAATTTCTTTTTTTAAAACGGAACATAAATTCTGGCTGGATATTTGCTCAGCCAATCAAACAGAAGAAACCAGAACCACTCGATAGTTATCTGCAGTTATGATTAGCTGGCATGTTACACTGTCAGGCACTTTTCAGATACCTTTTCACCATGCACATTACAATACTTACAATACTACGCACTCGGAATGTTGACAATGGTTTGATAGCTTATGTCTGTGTGGGTTATTTATAAGTTTCCATTAGTAACCGATACTAAACAGCAGTATCAAGTAAACACAAATTAGTACTAACAAAGTATTAACTGAAAATTGGTCGTAGTTGAATTATTCATTAATCAAGGATTCCAAGATTACTTAATAAAGATATAACATACCGTCACCATCTTGTTCTGTAGCATTTCTGTATCTGTGCATTCTCAACACATGGTCTGAGATATTTCTGTCCAACTCTGGATCCATCTGTTTAACAGAAACATTTTATAACTCAGTCAGCCATTTTCCAATTGTAAAAATCACATATTCAACAACCTTAATTTCTTGCCACAAATCATAATTTTAGAACTAGCTTATGCCATAGTTAACAATGGTATGAATACATTTCTCCTGTTGATTTTTTTTAGAAACATATCCTATACCATTTTGTTTTGGTGTTTCAGCAGACTTTTTTGTATTTGAGAACATGGTATGCACACATAAATTAGCACAAGCTATGAAAGCATTGTCCTTGTTTGTAAATATTAATAGTTCTCATATTTCACTGTTGCTAACAATCACTGTATAATTTATTGCAAGTCTATAGAAGTTGTATTCTCAATGTGCATTAGCAAGATTCACTGCAATCGCAAGCATCTATTACTTACCATGTCTTTTTCTGGTTTTTATGCTAATTTTTTGGCTATATCTCATGGTCAGTTTACCTTACTGACTTTCCTGGATAATCATTAATTTACATTTTTTCACAAATGTCTTTACCAGTTGCACATGATTTCTGAACCAAACGGGAGAGACAAATGACATATTGCAAGTTTATTTAATTCATCTTGTATCATTATTTACTGCGAGTACACATTTTATTCTTACCTTGTCAAGTACTATAAATATCAGATCAAAACGTGACAGTAGAGAATCCTGCAAACCAATGTTCTCCATAGGTGTCTTAAACTGGTCATACTGAAAAACAACAAACACAAATAACATAAACTTAAAAGGTCACAAGGAGCAGAAAAAATTTGAAAATATGAAAACTACTTTTAAAATTGTTCATACAACATCCTTCAATAGATGTTGGTTCTGATCTTAAAACACAGATTATTGTAAACTGTATAAGTATTTATGATTACTTCAAGCAAATTAAAGTCGTAGCAGATGCTACTGACAATGAAATATTAAGTTCATTATGATGTCAGGCAGACTCAGTAATTTACTCTCCTCTTTCTTGAAACAGATCTGCCCAAAAGGATTCTTTTTGTCATGAAATTAGAAAAATTGGGATGTACTGCCAAAGTTTGTAATTTCTGTACTTGTTGGCATTTTGGATCCAATTTCTGGAAAAATAATTAGGCATTGTTTGCCCTTGTAAATTGGTTCATTGCCTGTTTTAACACCAGCTCAAGAGGGCTAAAGTGAAATAAGATCAAACTTTTTTTCCCCCAGTCCCAAAGCATAACCAAATCAAATCTTAAAATTCTGTTAACAAATAGGTCACTAACAAAAGTTACTCTTACTGCTATTTTTACTCTTATCTTTTGCAAAAACAGTTAAGCGATGGACAAATTGTCTCTCAAGATATCAAAATAAGTTGGCTAAATCATTATTAATCCAGACCAAAAAATCAAAATATTAAGTGATGTTTTTTATTGTAGTCTAGGGAGGCCTGTAATACTCACCCTTCCATACACAGGATTAGCTGCAGCTAACACACTACATCTAGCATTCAACTTAGCATGAATGCCAGCCTTTGCAATGGTAACTCTGCCCTGTTCCATCACCTCATGTATAGCAGTACGATCCAGATCAGACATTTTGTCAAATTCATCGATACATACAACACCTCGATCAGCCAACACCATAGCACCAGCTTCAAGTCTTCTTTCACCTGCAAACAAGATGCATAAACTTCATACAGTAATGTACTTTTCAGACCCGCATTTTAAACAATTTCTTTTTTGAATCAAGAGCAGCGGTGACCTGATAGGTAAGGACTTCAGCTGAACCAACATATATAGGGTTCTGGTCACGATCGTGTTTTCTTGTATGACAAGAACTCTTTCTTATGTAAAACCTGTCCGAGCATTTGTTTGAACAACTCTGTTTTCAACCAATCAATCTGAAGCATTAACTCCTTCCGCCTCCCCATACATTTTTACATGTATCACAATAATGCACCTAAAATAGTCAAAGACTTTACAACTATAAAACAACAAGCCATTTAGGAGTGGTTGGCAATATCTATTAGCCTAGTAAAGCTTTTACAAGCCCAAAAATGTTAAATCTAAATGAGATAATTAATATTCTGAATAATGATGGAGTTGTTTTGTAATTCATATTCATAATTCCACGAATCAAGGATGCACAAGTTGTTCTGTTTGATATTCAGTCTTTTCATGGTGACTGACTGCTGACTTTTTCACAGGCAAATTGCAAGATTGTACTGATCTGACCAAAATTCTAATAGACCTAGGTCAAACAAGCTTGTGCTTTATTCACCGATAGCCAGATTGAGAATAATTCAACATGTATTACCTGTTTCTTGATCTGTAGTTACAGCTGCTGTCAAACCAACACCTGAAGACCCTCTACCTGTTGTGGTTATTGCTCTTGGAGCTGTGTGCAAAACATACCTAAACACAAATGTAGTTTTTTTTTACTATAAATATCACAACAGAATTAATGCAATGATGCAAAATTTGCAAAAAAAAACTTATGTGATTCTAATGAAAATGGTGCAAATTAAAATTGAACCTTACAGCATTTCAGAATCCATAACCAAGATGTGTAGTGTTTCTACAAAATGAGTCCTTTCCAGGTCAAGTATCAAATCTTTCTTCAAATGGACATACAACAATGAACAAACTTTCTTTCACATACATACCTCAGCATCTGTGATTTCGCCACTGACGGATCTCCAATCAACAGTACATTGATATCTCCTCTCAATCTTGATCCATTAGCTAGCACTTTCTCTGTTCCCCCAAGTAGCATGCACAACACAGCTTTCTTAATGTATTCATGTCCATGAATTGATGGGGCTAATGATTTACCAAGTACATCAAACACATCAACATTCTTCTGTCTACTGAACTTCTTTATTTTCGCCACATCTTCCGCAGAGAATGTTGGTGACACTTCTTTACTCATGAGCTGTATGTTGTTTGAGAGTAGAATTGTTCTGAAATAATCAAAGTATACATTATTTAACATGCCTATAACAGGAATTTTGTTGGGTTACATGGTGATTTGTAAAACTATATCACTCCAAACTAAACGTATAAATCCACACACAAACACCCAGGTGCACAACTACACATGCTGACCAATATTCCTGTAAAGTTTCATAAGTCTAGGTCAAATACTTTTTGAGGTTCGTGCGACAAAACATGAGAACAGACAGGACAAGCTAAGTTTAAATACCCCACCACCATATTGGGGGGCACAAATATGGATTTGAAATACAAGTGTTTTCAGTTTAATCAGTTTTTGAAAGATAAGAATTTTTTTAAGTATTGCGGACAAAAAAATTACCTGAATGTTCCAGAGGTGTAACCATTTTTCTTTCCAGGTAGACACCTAAATGTTCCAATGCACTGTATTCTATCTCCAGGCTGGAAAGTTAAATCTTCTAATTTTAATATAATCACAACAATATCTGTAAAGTTGATTTGGTTTAGTCATGTTTGCACTGTATGGCAACATTTCTTGAGCTGTTTGGCCCTTGGTTCCATTATTATAAACAGGGAATCAAGTGAAAGTGCGTTTTTTTCTGTCACATTAGAACGATGTTCGGGGGGCCCCAACAGTATTTTGATGGGGCAGATACACTTTTTCCACCCTGGGTTTTTCTATTTTTTCACTTAAAATTGGGAGAGGCCCTTTGTTCTGGATTTGAGAAATTTTGAAAATTGCTACTTTTACAAGTAAAAAAGTTTTTTAAGATTTTTTGGGAAAAATGCATGATTTTATTTTAAGAAAATTTCAATTGGTATCGGAGTTTGTTATATCAGCTGGAAAATCATTGTTTGGTCAGTTAAACAGTATTCAGAGGGTACCAGGTTGAGTCTGGCTGCATATTTTTCTCACCCTGTGACAATAACAAGCAAATGAAAATCCCTTATATTTCCATTTTTTTTTAACTGATTAAATGTTCAAAAGCTTATAGACCCTTTCATTTAAGACCGTATTCAAGTTGTCGCCCTTGGATGACGTCATTGGGGGATACGGTGGACAATGCCGATACGATTAAGTACAATAATATAGGGATATAAAGATCCTTAATCCTTTTTCTTTTAAGATTTGCAGATTGAAATTGGCAAAATTTTGTGTAATTTGATAAATAACAAGCAAATTCGTTGAATTTATATCCCCCGCCGAGTACTGGTTATTATTAACACAACAACTGAAGACATAAGGCTTTATTTATATATTAATCATGGCATAAACTGTAAATTTTTTTGAACTTGAAGCCTTGTACCTTCAAACAAGAAGAGTTTTTAAGTTTTCACTATATACATATAAGGAAAATCTATGACCCCCTGGAGTGGGGCCAATTTTGACCCCAGGGCTAAAATTTGAACAATTTTGGCAGAGGACCTATATGTTATATCATATACCAAATATCAAAGCTCTAGGCCTTGTACTGTCAGACAAGATTTTTTAATTTTGCATTTTTGAAACTCCTTTTCTGGCCCCGTGTGACTGATGATTGTGATTGAAAATTACAAAATTTTACTAAGTCAAGGGCAATAACTCTAAAAATACTAAAAATATCCAGACGAAAATACCCAGGTGCACAACTACACATACAGATCAACATTCCTGTAAAGTTTCATGACTCTAGGTCAAATTCTTTTTGAGTTACATGCGGCACAAGTTGAAAATTACAAAATTTTACTAAGTCAAGGGCAATAACTCTAAAAATACTAAAAATATCCAGACGAAAATACCCAGGTGCACAACTTCACATGCTGATCAACATTCCCATAAAGTTTCGTTGAATTCCAGCCATTAGTTGCAGAGAACTACTCCGGAAACGAAATTCGGACAAAATTTTACTGAGTCAAGGGCAATAACTCTAAAAATACTAAAAATATCCTGACGAAAATACCCAGGTGCACAACTACACATACTGATCAACATTCCTGTAAAGTTTCATGACTCTAGGTCAAATACTTTTTGAGTTACATGCGACACAAGTTGAAAATTACAAAATTTTACTAAGTGCAGGGCAATAACTCTAAAAATACTAAAAATATCCAGACAAAAATACCCAGGTGCACAACTACACATACTGATCAACATTCCTGTAAAGTTTCATGACTCTAGGTCAAATACTTTTTGAGTTACATGCGACACAAGTTGAAAATTACAAAATTTTACTAAGTCAAGGGCAATAACTCTAAAAATACTAAAAATATCCAGACGAAAATACCCAGGTGCACAACTTCACATGCTGATCAACATTCTCATAAAGTTTCGTTGAATTCCAGCCATTAGTTGCAGAGAACTACTCCGGAAACGAAATTCGGACAAAATTTTACTGAGTCAAGGGCAATAACTCTAAAAATACTAAAAATATCCAGACGAAAATACCCAGGTGCACAACTTCACATGCTGATCAACATTCCCATAAATTTTCGTTGAATTCCAGCCATTGGTTGCAGAGAACTACTCCGGAAACGAAATTCGGACGGACGGATGGACGGACAACGCCAAAACTATATCCCCCTCCCGATTCCATCGGCGGGGGATAAAAAGATGGTGAAATGAATTAATTTGTTTACTATATAATATGGTTAACGATTTGTTTTAATAGTAGACCATATTCCTGGGTAACTGATCATGATTATCATTTTCGTTAGATTCTCAATAATGAAAATTTTACCAGGCAAATAAATCGCCCTAACTTGCTAATACCAGAGATATAGATAATGTATCTATGTCTCTGCTAATATACAATACCCAAAAGATATTTTGAGTTTCAAAAATGTAAGGATTCTGTAGTTTCGAAAAACGGCTGCGTAATAATTAATTGAAAGATACTGGTTTATTAAAAATCATTTTGATTTAAGCATTACTAAGACAAAGAAAAGAAAACAATATAAATCTATGTAATTTCCAAAAAAAATGTAAAGGCATAAAAGTATAAATTGTTTTGAATGTACATGACTGTATACTATTTGTGTCGGCAAAAAATGCACTCTTAAAAAATCGTACATCACACCAATATATTTAAGCTGATAAAGCACAGATATATAAACATATATTTGTATCATAGTTTGGGGACCTTTCTGTTGAAAAAGTGTCAGAGTGAAATCGTATACATATACATGCACAGTGCGGTAACTGGAGTGCAGGTATCAGTTACCCGCACTCCAGATAATGCCCGTTGATTGGTTCATTTTTGCTGGGGTTTACTTATTGTGGCGGCAGAGAAAGGGAAAGGGGCAGAAATATCATATTCAAATGCCCGTTCATTGGTTCATTTTTTCTGGGGTTTCGTATTATGACAACAGGGAACGTGCGGTCATGTTTGACTATGATACAAAAGAGAAAGAGCACCGAAACACTCGGCAATCTGATTTATACTCGGGGGCATAGCCCCCTCGTACAAATCAGATAGCCTCGTGTTTCGGTGCTCTTTCTGTTACTTAACTCCATGGGTAAAGCAATATTTTCAACTTGATACTTTTTAATTCATACTCTGCTTAACAATTATTTAAAAAATCACACAAAAAAAATCAAACAACAAAAACAAGTTGTGAAACACGTTCACAGAAATTCGTTATTAACTGAATTATAATTTTACGTATTTTTGACTGTGCCAGTTGGAAGGACTCTGGATCGAGTATCAAATCAGTAAGGCATGACCAATTAAGTCCCTAGGATGATCCATAACAAAATTCGGACCATAAATATTTTGACAACTAACAAAAGTGACGTAATCTGATGTAAACTCTAAAAATGCACCCTGGTGATTTATGATATCACAGCCAAGTGCCGCTTGTATATACATGTATACTGGTCAGGGACCATCAACCGGACACTTTCTGATCATTTTTCTATACAAATTTCATAATTTTAAAGCTAGAGGTACGAAAATTTGACACAGTACAGCTAGGTTCCTCTCCTAACTAACAAACTAGTTTGTTTAGTTCTGATTATGTTGACACTTATATCCGAGGCCCGTCAAGGAGGGTATCAAAATTATATAAATTGTACATACTACAGTACCATGTGTCCGGACAGATATGTAATAACGTTGATTTAATTCAGATAAAAGCTTTGGTGTTCTTTTTTTTTATTTTTAACATGACACACAATATTTCAGCAGCAAATGCTGAAGTTCTGGATATTTTATTGTTTACTCTGCTAATAATTATTGCTGTTATATGAGGTCAGGCATTGCTTTCTTGACCCCCATATTTCAACATCAACATTCTTGAAATAGACATTAAAATATTACCATTTACGGAGGTTGAAATAAATTTATTTACTTAATTTTAGAAGAAACATGCATTTATTGTTGATAAAAAAGTGACTGACAACCACTGAACAAAGAAAATTCTAAATAAAGTATTTTCGGGGTCGTCCGGGTTTGGTGGTTGTCCGGTTTTGGTGGTCCCCAACCAGTACTGTTAATTAATATGTTACGGCCCAGTGGCGCTTATATATACACATCTATTTATCTATGAAATCATTAAAATACTGGGAAAAGGTCTTTAAAGAATAGATTTTTAATATCAAAATTATCTTATCGTCTTTTGCAAATCTAAAATTATAAAAGTCAATGCCATATGGTTTTCGTTCTTTCCGGAATATTTATAAAATTATATCCTTCACTAGTTTTTTGAAATATTTTTTATTCGGCATAATGAAAAAGAATCAGTAAGTATTGACATAATGCATTCTGTTATTGTTCTATTAAAGTTTGAAAAACAAAATTTTACTAAAATACATTGGCAATATTATTTCAGGTTTGACAAATACGCCGGAATTTTCTAAATGACAAAGTAACACAGAAAACTAGAAAATGGCCATTCAAATTTATAATAGGCAATTTCAGTGTGTATGGGTGTTTATTAAATATTAAAATTTGATTCAGTTACTAGCTTTTTTTTTTTTAGAAAATCTAGATCTAATAAATATATTTCACTTTGAAATTTCGCTGTTTCACTCCGTAGCGACACGGATTTATAAATCCGTGGTAGCGAGAATTAATCTCAATCTTTGCTTTTGTATTTTTTTCTATTGTCTTGATATTGAATTTATGTATGCATGCGTAAATTTTTAAATGTTATAATCATAATTGAACAATCAGTAATTACGCATTTAACTTTTCAATAAGCTAACTTTCTATGCGGCATGCATAGTTTTATCCCCCATTTACGTCACATCCGGTAAGGGAAGTAACTCTTCACTGACTGTTATCGCTTAAATGAAAGGGTCTATACCATTACTATTATCAAAGTTGATATGTAATATGTTTAGTTTTTGTCGCAAGGAACAAATGATCATTTCAAGACATCATTGATCTAATTTCTTGTAAGAAGCTTGAATCAAAGTCATTTTGGAGACTTACCTTGCACATGTCAACCAGGTCATTATCAGCAATAATATCAACACTTCGAGGCAACTGACCTGCAGGGGCCTTCTCTGGCATTTCCTGTATACTGAATGATTGATGATCTTTGTAGACTGATAAACCATACTCTGTCTCTAATAAATTACCATCTTCATCCTGCATGAAAATTATTGTGAAATTAGCGTTAAATATCTTAAAATTTCTCTTGTACAATGCACAATTTTTCATAAATTTTGGTTATTAAAGTCATGCCAAGACATTTGAGGTCATATACTTATTGTCCAGAATTGCAAAAATTACTTGTTGCACGAAGACAAAATGACATAAGGGCCATGATGGCCCTGAGGTCGCTCACCTGTATATAGCCCCCCCCCCCCCAACGTTACAGGGCAAATTTAACCCAAGGGCTTTTATTTGCACAAACTTGGTAGACACCCATAAGAAGATGTTTCATGCTAAACATCTAAGCTCTAGCTCATTGGGCTCTTTAAAAGAAGATTTTTTTAAAGTTAAACTATACACATATAGTTAAAAACAATGACACCCCTGGGGCCGGGCCAGTTTTGACCACAGGGCTTTTATTTGAACAAACTTTGTAGACACTTACTAGAAGATGTTTCATGCTTAATATCTAAACTCTAGCTATTTGGGTTTTTCAAAGAAGATTTTAAGTTTTTGCTATACACATATAAAGAAAATCAATGCCCCCAGGGGCGGGGCCAATTTTGACCCCAGGTCTTTTATTTGAACAAACTTTGTAGACACTCACTAAAAGATGTTTCATGCTTAATATCTTAACTCTAGCTATTTGGGTTTTTTCAAAGAAGATTTTTTAAGTTTTTGCTATACACATATAAGGAAAATCAATGACTCCGGGGCGGGGCCAATTTTGACCCCAGGGCTTTTATTTGAACAAACTTGGTAGACACCTATTAGAACATGTTTGATGCCAATTATCTTAGCCATAGCTCTTTGAGTTCTTAAAAAGAAGGTTTTTTAAGTTTTTACTAATTATGCATATAGGGAAAATCAATGACCCCTGGGGCGGGGCCAATTTTGACCCCAGGGCTTTTATTTGAACAAACTTGGTAGACACTTATTAGAACATGTTTCATGCTAAATATCTTAGCTCTAACTCTTTTGGTTCTTTAAAAGAAGATTTTTTAAGTTTTTACTATATGCATATATAGGGAAAATCAATGACCCCCCCGGGGCGGGGCCAATTTTGACCACAGGGCTTTTATTTGAACAAACTTTGTAGACACCCATAAGAACATGTTTCATGCTAAATATCTTAGCTCTAGCTCTTTGGGTTCTTTAAAAGAAGATTTTTTAAGTTTTTACTATATGCATATAGGGAAAATCAATGACCCCCTGGGGCGGGGCCAATTTTGACCCCAGGGCTTTTATTTGAACAAACTTGGTAGACACCCATTAGAAGATGTTTCATGCTAAATATCTTAGCTCTAGCTCTTTGGGTTCTTTAAAAGAAGATTTTTTAAGTTTTTACTATATGCATATAGGGAAAATCAATGACCCTTTGGGGCGGGGCCAATTTTGACCCCAGGGCTTTTATTTGAACAAACTTGGTAGACATCCATTAGAACATGTTTCATGCCAAATATCTAAGCTCTAGCTCTTTGGGTTTTTTAAAAGAAGATATTTAATGTTTTTACTATATGCATATAGGGAAAATCAATGACCCCCTTGGGCGGGGCTAATTTTGACCCCAGGGCTTTTATTTGCATGCCAAATATCTAAGCTATAGCTCTTATGGTTTTTTAAAAGAAGATATTTAAAGTTTTTTCTTTCGGTTGCCATGGCAACCAGAGTTCTGCATGGAATTAAATTCTTTGAACAATTTTTAAAGGTGACCACCAAAGGAACATTCCTGTGAAGTTTGGATGAAATTGGCTTAGTGGTTTATGAGGAGATGTCATTTAAAGTAAAAGTTTACGGACGAACGGACGCCGGACGAAAAGCGACCACAAAAGCTCACCCTGTCACTTTGTGACAGGTGAGCTAAAAAGTTAAAGAAATTCTTCATGAATAAATCTATTAAAGCTGCACGCCTCCAGATGAGCCAAAATATTTTAAGAAATTCAATCTATAGACAAATGTATTATTATCTGAAGAAAAATAAAAAAGATTCAATATCTAATTAATTATTTACATGTTATGTGCGATTAATGACTGATTTTGCAGTATCAATCACTATAATTTTACTGCGTTACTAACGCAGTAAGAAGTATTTTTGTATATTTTGGCCTCTTTTTAGCAATTAACATGGATTGTAAGTGCCGTTTGCAATGTGTAAATTACTTTATTTGTTCACTTCACAATATTTTACTTTGAAATACATTTTCAAAATTTTCATGAGAATTAGCATGAATCTGGAGGCATGCTGCTTTAAATTTTGTAAAGTTAATGGCCAAGACCAAATTGCAATGTTGTTTTTAACCTGTATATAGCCCCCTCCCCCCACCCCTGCAGGGCCAATTTTTACCCAAGGGCTTTTATTTGTTTACTTGAACAGACTTGGTAGACACCCATAAGAAGAAGTTTCATGCTAAACATCTAAGTTCTAGCTCATTGGGTTTTTTAAAAGAAGATTTTTAAAGTTTTTACTATACACATATAGTTAAAAACAATGACACCCCTGGGGCAGGGCCAGTTTTGACCCCCGGGCTTTTATTTGAACAAACTTTGTAGATATTTACTTAAAGATGTTTCATGCTTAATATCTAAACTCTAGCTATTTGGGTTTTTTCAAAGAAGATTTTTAAGTTTTTGCTATACACATATAAGGAAAATCAATGACCCCCCCCCCTCCCCGGGCGGGGCCAGTTTTGACCCCAGGGCTTTTATTTGAACATACTTGGTAGACACCCATTAGAAGATGTTTCATGCTAAATATCTTAGCTCTAGCTCTTTGAGTTCATTAAAAGAAGATTTTTTAAGTTTTTGGGGCGGGGCCAATTTTGACTCCAGGGCTTTTATTTGAACAAACTTGGTAGACATTCACTAGAAGACGTTTCATGCCAAATATCTAAGCTCTAGCTCTTATGGTTCTTTAAAAGAAGATTTTTTAAGTTTTTACTATATGCATATAGGGAAAATCAATGACCCCCGGGGCGGGGCCAATTTTGACCCCAGGGCTTTAATTTGAACAAACTTGGTAGACACTCACTAGAAGATGTTTCAGGCTTAATATCTTAGCTCTAGCTCTTTGGGTTCTTTAAAAGAAGATTTTTTAAGTTTTTACTATATGCATATAGGGAAAATCAATGACCCCCTGGGGCGGGGCCAATTTTAACCCCAGGGCTTTTATTTGAACAAACTTGGTAGACATTCACTAGAAGATGTTTCATGCCAAATATCTAAGCTCTAGCTCTTACGGTTCTTTAAAAGAAGATTTTTTTAAAGTTTTTACTATATGCATATAGGGAAAATCAATGACCCCCGGGGCGGGGTCAATTTTGACCCCAGGGCTTTTATTTGAACAAACTTGGTAGACACTCACTAGAAGATGTTTCATGCCAAATATCTTAGCTCTAGCTCTTTGGGTTCTTTAAAAGAAGATTTTTTAAGTTTTTACTATATGCATATAGGGAAAATCAATGACCCCCTGGGGCGGGGCCAATTTTGACCCCAAGGCTTTTATTTGAACAAACTTGGTAGACACTCACTAGAAGATGTTTCATGCCAAATATCTAAGCTCTAGCTCTTTGGGTTGTTTAAAAGAAGATATTTAAAGATTTTTCTTTCGGTTGCCATGGCAACCAGAGTTCTGCATGGAATTAAATTCTTTGAACAATTTTTAAAGGTGATCACCAAAGGAACATTCCTGTGAAGTTTGGATGAAATTGGCTCAGTGGTTTATGAGGAGATGTCATTTAAAGCAAAAGTTTACTGATGGAAGAACGACGGACGGACGAAAAGCGATCACAAAAGCTCACCCTGTCACTTTGTGACAGGTGAGCTAAAAAAACAAAAAACATTTTATATGTCACATTGATCAAAATTTTCAATTGCTGACCAAGTATTTTTACTTAATACTCAACTAAAAACAGAACATATCAAATGCTTCCTCCATCTGTTTAAATAGTGTTGTAAAACTTAAAGATTATTTCTTTTTTTGTTGTTCAGTTATTTCTTTTTTTGTTGTTCAGTTTTAAGTCATACTTTTACGGTCATATAGCAACTTTCCAGCTATCAAATATATTCTTATACATGTTTGTATAATTATACTACATGTATCTAATCTTCAAAACTTTAAGTCCTCAAATCTAGTTAACTGCATTTTACTGAGAAAATTTTTAAAAACCAGCAATAAGAAGTCTGGTCAGACTGTGCAGAAATGAATGCTGGACTGGGGCCCATAAGTTGACAATGACAAGACAATAACATAACATAATTTCAATGTAAAATCATAACCATACTTTTGTTGGGTATGCGGAACTGGAGGGGAATGCTTCTAGAGATGTCATATCTGTGTATGTTCTCTCCATCGTCTTCTTTGTATTGGGACAGTAATGTACACTTCGTACAACCTTCGGTCGAATCAAAGAACCTAAAAAAAATAAAATCAGTTTTTTCATGAGATTGTCATATTCCCATGAATTGCCTGCTGGAATAATGATGTTACATGCAAACTTTTCTCTGAATACTAAATACACAAGCATCGTAACCTGTACATAGGGTTGGTACAAGGAGCTGCATGTAAACTTAAATAACTGTCTCAAATATATTTAAAACTTAATAAATAATACTCTTCGTTTTAAGTGATATTACAAAAAATAACCAATTCAAATCCTAAGAAAATCTTTAATGACAACCCTTGAACAGCGACCTACTGAAATTTACACTTTCAAGACATATAAGCTAGTCAAGTGTTTTACAATGTTTGGCCTATATTCTGTAATAATACAAGATCACCCGCCCGTTTAACTCACAACGAGTGAAAAATGTCCATCGGTTAAAATGTTGTGAGCAACTTCCGTTCCTCGTTGTGAGCACCCATCTTTGACGTGTGACACGATAAACAAGGTGAGCTTTTTCATAATTTTTGAAGATTACAGACATTTATGTAAAAATATCGAAATGCAGTTAGCTAGCGATGTGTTTTTCCAAGTATGCACATGTAAAGATATTGCCTGTTGGTGGACAATTTGATGGAAATACCGTGCGACGCAGTCACTCGGGTAGCAGGAAAAAACTGGAGACAACTTCTCTTTGGACCTAATTTAACATTGAAAACGCCGATTCTGGTGACTTTTTTGTGCATTCTAACCTAAAAACAGATGCCCACAAGTCTTCAGCGTAAATTATTATCTGAAAGTCTTCATAGAAAACGAAGATATACCCTTTTTTGCTTTAATCCTCGTTGTGAGCACCATAACCTCGTTGTGAGCAAGACAAGCGCAATGCTTGTCTGGTTTTAATATGTAATTCAAATGGCAAGAATACAATTTTCAATCTACCACAGCAATCAAAACGTTTTTGTACAATAGTTTTGCTTTGCAATAGTTCTTTTTCTTTTTTGAAAATTATTCTTCATATTCACAAGTCATCAGATTAAGAGAAGAACTCATCAGTGGAGGTAAATCAGCTATTTTATTTCGTATACTCTAGTGTGGCACGAGTGAACATCACAGGGAGTTTAGGAATATTTTAACAATTTCACAATATGTGTGATACACGCATACATGTGTTTATCCTGAGCTGAAGACTGACCAAGTTATGTAAAACAAGAACTATCACAGTAAGTTGACAATGCCCCTGAAGTGGTGCTTTGTCCTTTGATTTATGGACCAGATAGATTTTTTTTTTTTGGACAATTAGATCGTCAATGTGAAGGTCATTCAAGGTCAAGGTGAAATAAATATAGGTCAGTTGGAAGGTCTTGTCCAAAGGGGCATTGTGTCCAATATGAATTAATTCCACTTACTTATAAAGAAGTTATATATGACCAATGTTAAAGTTTTTGGATGTTCTAGAAGGTCATTCAGGGTACAAGGTAAAAAAATACAGATAAGTTTGAAGGTCTTGCCTAAAGGGGTGTTGTTTCAAAATATGAGTAGAATCCGTATGCTAATAAGGAAGTTATGACCAATTTTTAAGTTTCTGGACAATTTGACCTTCAAGGTGAAGGTCATTCAGCGGTCACGGCCAAAAGAATATAGGATAGCTGAAAGGCCTTGTCCAAAGATGTGTTGTGCCTAAATATTATGCCAGGACATTATGGCCAATCTTAAATGTTTTTGGACAATTTGACCTTCAAGGTAAAGGCCATTCAGGGGCCAAGGTAAAAAATACAGGTCTGTAGGAAGGTGTTGTGCTAAGGGATGTTGTGTTCAAATAGGAATCAAATCCGTTTACTAATAAGGAAGTTATGGCCAATGTTAAAGTTTTCGGACAGATTGACGACTGACAGACGGACAGTTCAAAACTAATATGCCTCCCTTTGGGGTATGCACAACGTCTTGCAAAGAAATGCTGCTGTGCAAAAACGTTTTTATTGCTGTGGTAGATTGAAAATTATATTTCACCATCTGAATTACATATTAAAACCATACACGCACTGCGCTTGTCTTGCTCACAACGAGGTTATGGTGCTCACAACGAGGATTAAAGCAAACAAGAGCTGTCACAGGAGACAGCGAAGCTCGACTAATAAAATACTGGACGCAGTAAGGAGGACAAACTATGAAAGAAAAATCTATTATGTATAATTATGTATTAAGTTATAGTAAAAAAATAACATTTGTTAACATAAATTCCAAGATCAAGGGGAATAATTCTAGAAATAGTTTCATGCTAGAGTTATGGACCTTGCCACACAACATTTGTGTAATGATAAGAAATATATATATTTGAAGTTTGAAGTAGATACCCTTAAAAAATAAAGAAGTTATTATATTTCTTAAAGAAAATCCTAAGTTCAAAGAGTGATAAATCTGTAAATATTGCTTCAAGAGTTATGAACATTGTCACATAAAATGTAATTGATGATAAGGAATAAGTATTTGAAGTTTGAGGTAGATACCTTTAAAATAAAAAATAACATTTTTCTAGTAAATTAATCTAAGTTTATGGGGAGATAATTCTTGCAATATTGGTGCTAGAGTTATGAACCTTGTCACATAAGATGTGTTATGATGATAACGTAAATATATTTGAAGTATGAAAAGTTTGATCCCCTTAGAAATAAATAAGTTAGAGTAAAAAAATAATATTTGTGCTATGGAAAATTCTAAGTTCAAAGGGAGATAAATCTGAAAAATATTGGTGCTAAGAGGTATGAACCTTGTCACATAAGATGGGGATGATGATAAGGTACATATATTTTAAGTATGAGGTTGATACCTTAAGAAATAAGAAGAAATAGTATTTTTTGAGGAAAATTCTAAAGTTCAAGGGGAGAATAAATCTAAAAATATTTGGTGCTAGAGTTATGAACCTTGTCACATAAGATGGGGATGATGATAAGGTACATAATATTTTAAGTATGAGGTTGATCCCTTAAGAAATAAAAAAAGTATCAGTAAAAAATAGTATTTTTTAAGGAAAATTCTAAAGTTCAAGGGGAGATTAAATCTGAAAAATATTGATGCTAGAGTTATGAACCTTGTCACATAAGATGGGGATGATGATAAGGTACATATATTTGAAGTATGAGGTTGATCCCTTAAGAAATAAAGAAGTATCAGTAAAAAATAGTATTTTTTAAGGAAAATTCTAAGTTCAAGGGGAGATAAATCTGAAAATATTGGTGCTAGAGTTATGAACCTTGTCACATAAGATGTGGTTGATGATAAGGAACATATATTTGAAGTTTGAAGTTGATACCTTAAGAAATGACAAAGTTATAGTGAAAAATATTTTACTGCACCAAAACTTTAATCTAAAATCTGGACGCGGACGCCGACGCGAGTAGGACAGCTCTCCATATACTTCGTATAGTCGAGCTAAAAAGGGTATATCTTCGTTTCTATGAAGACTTTCAGATAATAATTTATGCTGAAGACTTATGGGCATCTGTTTTAGGTAAGAATGCACAAAACGTCACCAGAATCGACGTTTTCAATGTTAAATTAGGTCCAAAAAAGAAGTTGTCTCCAGTTTCCTGCTACCCCGAGTGACTGCGTCGCACGGTATTTCCATCAAATTGTCCACCAACAGGCAATATCTTTACATGTGCATACTCGGAAAACACATCGCTAGCTAACTGCATTTCGATATTTTTACATAAATGTCTGTAATCTTCAAAAATTATGAAAAACTCACCTTGTTTATTGTGTCACACGTCAAAGATGGGTGCTCACAACGGAAGTTGCCAGGGTTTTTTTTTAGGAAAAGGGGAAGACGCTGGACGCTGGTAGGGAGGGGAAAAAATATACGAAAAAAGTCAATTTGGGGAAACTTTATTATGACGTTATTTATACTATATACTTAACTACATAGTAGAGAGTTACAACTATATCTTTTTTCCCCTTAAAAAACTTTATCATCATGCAAAATATTCTTTGCAGTATAACATATTTTCTTAATATGTATGGTGGTGAATGGTTTTTATACTTCTATTTTTGTATGAAAGTTAATACAGTATAGGTATAATAGTGTATCTGTGACACACTTTAGCTCCATATAAGTCATTTTCATAATAAGAAGTACAAAATATATTACTTTACTAAAAAATAACCAAGAAAATGACAATATTTTGATAGCAACTGATTTCCAGAAATAGTACCGTTCAGTACGGGATATAGCCAAGAAAAAAAAATGGCTGCCTCCATGTTGAGACAGTACTTGCAGTTTCCTGCAATGTTTTTGGTTATTTTGAACAACAATTGGTGGTTTATCCTGCATAAAATGAAGAAAAATAATATTTTAAACCATGTAATTATTAAATCTGATCCAGTTTAAAGGAAAATAGAATTTTTTTTGGGAAAAAACTTGGCTATTTACCGAGGGGAAGACGCCGACTATCGGTGTCAATTTGTTAGTAAAAAAAACCCATGGTTGCTCACAACATTTTTACCGATGGACATTTTTCACTCGTTGTGAGTTAAACGGGCGTGAAGATACTAAACATTTTTTTTTCTTCAACAAAATTTCACTACATTCAGTTATTACAAACAGGAAAATAAAGTATAATTTTCACTCACATTTAGTTACAATTCCTTCTACACAGACAAGGTTGCCAAGAAACCTTGATGTCAGTGTTCTTGGTGAGACATGCTTGCTTCCAAAACTGAAACAATAAAAATATTATATATTAACAAGAATGACAACACATTCAGACATTTTAGTCACTGTTACAAGTTAGTCCTTGCTAGGAGTCATTAACAACAAGCATTTGATAGTATTGCGGGCAATACAGTAGTCCCCTACCGGTCCCTCAAAAAGTTCTTTAATTGTCTTACACTCCTGTGTATTGCCATTTATAATGAATTTGAGGATGAAGTCTGTATTTGAAAATATCAACCACAAAACATAATAAAATAAGTTTGTCTATATCACAGTAATGTGTTAAGTTTCCATGCTTAGTAAGGAAATTATGTTTATACAACCTTGTCATATTATTACGATGTGGGATTTTAAAGTAAATCCTATAAGGAATGAAGAAGTTGGAGTGAAAATACCAGTTTCTCGAAAAAAATCTAAGTTAAAGGGGGACATAATTCTGGAAATAGTCTTGCTAGAGTATTTAACCTTCTCAAAAATGTCGAGTGATAATAAGAAACATATATATGAAGTTTGAAGTAGATACATTAGGAAATAAAGAAGTTATTTAAAAAAGACAACATTTTTTTCCCCTAAAAAAATCTAAGTTCAAGGGAGGTAATACTGATATTTTTTGTGCTAGAGTTATAAACCTTGTCACATATGATGTGGTTGATGACCAGAAACTTATATTTAAAGTTTGAAGTAAACACCTTAAGAAATAAAGAACATATAGTGAAAAAGCTGAAAAATTTAAATCAGAAATCTTGAAATTCAGGCTATTTGTTGCCATAGCAACCAGAATTTTCAACATAGGAAGAAAAGAAAAAGATGTGCATAATCTCCAGACTGCCATCTACCCATATTTCAAGTTTCATAAAAATATTTTCAGTACTTTTGAGTTATCACTGGATCCAGTTTATGTGTTAAATTTGCCATATTTTCAGACTATTTGTTAATATTTTAAAAAAATCTAAGTTAAAGGGGGACATAATTCTGGAAATAGTCTTGCTAGAGTATTTAACCTTCTCAAAAAATGTCGAGTGATAATAAGAAACATATATATGAAGTTTGAAGTAGATACATTAGGAAATAAAGAAGTTATTTAAAAAAGACAACATTTTTTCCCCTAAAAAAAATCTAAGTTCAAGGGAGGTAATACTGATATTTTTTGTGCTAGAGTTATAAACCTTGTCACATATGATGTGGTTGATGACCAGAAACTTATATTTAAAGTTTGAAGTAAACACCTTAAGAAATAAAGAACATATAGTGAAAAAGCTGAAAAATTTAAATCAGAAATCTTGAAATTCAGGCTATTTGTTGCCATAGCAACCAGAATTTTCAACATAGGAAGAAAAGAAAAAGATGTGCATAATCTCCAGACTGCCATCTACCCATATTTCAAGTTTCATAAAAATATTTTCAGTACTTTTTGAGTTATCACTGGATCCAGTTTATGTGTTAAATTGCCATATTTTCAGACTATTTGTTAATATTTAAAAAAATCTAAGTTAAAGGGGGACATAATTCTGGAAATAGTCTTGCTAGAGTATTTAACCTTCTCAAAAATGTCGAGTGATAATAAGAAACATATATATGAAGTTTGAAGTAGATACATTAGGAAATAAAGAAGTTATTTAAAAAAGACAACATTTTTTCCCCTAAAAAATCTAAGTTCAAGGGAGGTAATACTGATATTTTTTGTGCTAGAGTTATAAACCTTGTCACATATGATGTGGTTGATGACCAGAAACTTATATTTAAAGTTTGAAGTAAACACCTTAAGAAATAAAGAACATATAGTGAAAAAGCTGAAAAATTTAAATCAGAAATCTTGAAATTTCAGGCTATTTGTTGCCATAGCAACCAGAATTTTCAACATAGGAAGAAAATAAAAAGATGTGCATAATCTCCAGACTGCCATCTACCCATATTTCAAGTTTCATAAAAATATTTTCAGTACTTTTTGAGTTATCACTGGATCCAGTTTATGTGTTAAATTTGCCATATTTTCAGACTATTTGTTGCCATAGCAACCAGAATTTTCAACATAGGAAGAAAAAAAAAAGACGTGCATAATCTCCATACTGCCATCTATCCATATATCAAGTTTCATAAAAATATTTTCAGTACTTTTTGCGTTATCGCGGGATCCAGTTTTGTGGACGGACGGACTGACAGACAGACGGACAGACAGACGGACAGACAGACAGATGGACGGAGGGTAAACCTAAAGTCCCCTCCGGTTAAACCGGTAGGGGACTAATTAAAAAAATCCCGTTTTATTTGATTGCTTTCACTGCTGATTCAACTTTCCAAATGCACCAGTGTATGTGGTGACCTTAAAATGATGAAAATTAAAGATTGTAATTATTCAACATGTATCTTTAGCAGAAACGTACCTTCCAACAAATCCTACGAAGAATGCCTCATGCTGTTTACTATATATAGGATCTGCAGATGCAACAAACTCTTTTAAAGCTCGCTGCAGTGCTATCAACTCCTGAAATGCCTCAGCCAGTAATCTGAAAACATAAAAAACAATTTCACACACTGCACAAAAAAATGCAACAACAAAAAAGAAATACATTTAATGGGCCATTTTGATTAACCTTTTAGTGTAGGCATGTTTTGGTATCAACATATCAATTAAATTATCAGTGGTCCAAAAGAGGTCAACAAACTAAAAATCAACAACTGTCATATTGGTACTGATATAATTATGATGTTGATTATGATGTTGATATAAGTTTATATTTAAATAATAAACTTACGCATTTGCCCTTGTTGGATTCTTTTTCCTCAAATCGTTTATGTTGACAATGAGCCGAACTTCACTATTTGCTATCATGTCCCGAACCTTCTGTAAATATATCCCTTGATCATCCTGAAATTATTATTATGCATTGATAAAGGTATAGGCTATTTCCTACAAACTTACTATTGAGTTAACCAGTTAGCTATATGATCAAATATCCTTGTAACCTGGCTTTGTAAATGCATTATGCTTATAAGCAGAAGGAGCAGAATTTTACTACAAGTTCAACTCCCAATGTCTTGACAATTTTTAATACCTTCCAATCTTGAAAGGGCCTTACATAACATTTATAACAAGCTACATCCCTAAATTCAATGCATTCTGTAAAAATACACTAAGACTAAGTAAATTCTATCCGGGGATATAACTTTACAACTATAACTACATGACACGTAAAAAGACATTCAATTTCAACAGTTTTCAATATGCAATTGTTAAATTAAATTCTATTGAAAGGGTAATACATAATTATATCTTACCCCATCATCTAAAAAATCTAAGTATTCTCTTTGTATCTCTCTTTGTCTTTGATCTATATCGGCAGGGGGATCCATTTTTGTTGTTTTTGTTTCTTGCTTGCCTCACGCTACCGGCGCCAGTAATTTCCCGCCAGATGAACCACGTGGGAGATTATACGGATGTGATTGGTCATTTTCCACCGTCCGTCTTAATATTCGAAAACCAGTTACTTTTTCCCACTATTGATGCGCATCTTAGTGTATTACAACTTTAAAATACAATTTTACATTTCTAAATGAAATATAATAAAATAGATTGATTGAATTTAAACTGATTGTAAAATATCAACCTAGCATTTAACAGGCCCCTCCCTCACAAGAAAAATATATTAAAACATCATTCAATTTATTTTTATTTTGTGCATCTTTTAAACATGGATGCCCCCATGAATTGGCCATAAATATTGTTGATACTGCGTTTAAACGGCAACAAGATTATGTCATCGGATAAAGAACTATTAAAGATACAGCAATTGGATAAAGACTTTTTTGTTTGGAATTCAAATGGTATGCACTCACGTTTAATGCTGAAAAAACTGCTTTAAAACTCAGTGGAATACTGTACGGATAAAATTAATTCGGATAAATTTTTCGAAATTTTTAGGCCTACAAGTGTTACAGGGTGATAAATATGTGTGACCTGACCGGGACTTGAACCCGGGACACTTAGAATATCGTTTCACGTCTTTACTGACTGAGCTATTTGACCACTTGCACAATATTTTAAATAGTGAAGCAGAACAGTTTTAAAAAGCGTCGGAATATTTACCCCAAGACAAAAAGATACCCCAAGACACCCCAAGACTACTCTGGGACAGAAGTATACACATTTTTAGTCCCAGGAGTACAACAAGACACTTATACGCGGAAAGTCCGAGCGGGGCCAAAGGCCCTGCAATGGCTGTAGCGCTCATAGATAACATGTATGACGCGTATCAATTCAAATGAAATCAAATTAAAACTTCATGAAAATTTAAAAAAAATATATCCTATACTTAATGACCTGTGAAAAAATCCTTAGTTAACTGGGCGCCGCCATTATGAAATCCTTTTGAGCTAAATAAAGATATCAGAGCGCTTTTAATGAGTCAGTGTTTTTTTTCACTTTTTGGGGAAGGGGGTCGGTGCCGTTTGGAGGGGGAAAAATGCAAAAGGAGGGGGAATTTTATTTATTCACAAATGAGGAAACAAAAACGTATCCAATGCATATTTTAATACAATCACTTACCACATTAAGATTTACTTTTGTTTGACATTGTTTTCTTTCCAGTGAGTAGAAAAGGAGACAACTCTTGCAACACAAGTTTAAAATACATCGCTTTTTCTTAATATACGGATCTAAAATATTGACAGCAGAATTTATAGAGTCGCATGTTAAACTTGTTGGGATGCCAGGAGTGGTTCCTCTTACATACCCGTGAACAATTTGTAAACAACTTTGCTTAACAGTAAGTCTTACAGGCTTAATATAAAACACTTTTCGGCAGTTATACACAAAAACAATGGTATCCATTGCAGCCAAATTTTGGCTGCAATATGAGGGGGAAATTTCGGCTTTTAGAAGGGAAAAAATATACTATTTTGAGGGGGGAATGGGGCCGAATTTTGGTGAAAAAAAATACTGTGAGTGTCTAAATAATTCCGACTATTGCTAGCAGACGCATGCTATGTAACACTTCCGGTGAAAGAACGATGTATAAAATCAGAAAATAAACATTCATTTCATTCATAAGAACTATAGTAACTATGCTATGATGTCATTGTAAAAAATCATTTCCGTGATAACTTTTTGTTAAAAGAAATATTGCCAAACCGGATTGGAGGCCCACATGGAAGATTGGGTAACCAAATGCAGCATGCCCACTCAATTTTAAATGTAGGGGTACATGAACCCCCTGTCATTGAAAATTGGGGGTACATTTCAAAATCTGGGGGTACACATAAGTTTAAACATGTTTTTGTTTGTAAGAACATTTTATTCAACATGATATTAATGAACAGCTGTTACCCAGTAACACAGACACAAACTCATCACTTAAGGTAATAACGATATAACAGCCATTACAATCACTGGTACATTTTTGTTTAGTCCATACGATTATTACCCATAACCAAAATTTTGTATATCTGAAATTATGTACATTTATTTCAAAATCTCAATTATTTATATTTTCATTTCATATGACATGCATAAAGCTCACAATTGAAGGTAGTTGTTAAAAAATCAAGTGACTAACTTTTTGCTGATCATTGGAGAACTAAAAATATTTTTTGGCAGTTGTAAATATCCAAAACTTTTTTGTTCTTTTTTTCTTAAGACTTGTGACGTCAAAACATGACTAAAATATTAATGAATCAGACTGAGATGACTTTGAAAGCAGACATGCAATTGTGGCCGGGTTTAGACAGTTCCTAACCATTGGTAGATGGCATAGGCTACCCCAAACATTCATTCTGACGATTTTACTTTGCGTGCATGTACCCCCTGCTTACAATTTTTATGCGTGCATCTAGAATTTTGTGCGTGAATCACGCACTGTAGTGCGTGAATGGGCATGCTGCAAATGTGTAGCCTCAGTAAAAAAATACTTTTCTCTCAAGAATGTCAAACTCTAGACACAATGCAAAAACCACAAAATTTAATTTTCGCTGAATCAATTTAAAAAACTTTTTTTTAAAGTGACCTGGTTTACAGTGAGCACATTTTCTGAACCTATTTCAAATATTGATAAAAACAACAGTATCATTCTATTTTCCTGTCATTTTATACCGTTTATAGCGAGGTTGGTTTTAGCAAGATATCAGTTACAAAGTACAAATTTTTGCTGTCCCATGCATTTTTTTCATGAACTTTGACGAGGTCACATTGGCACTTAGTCTGCATCAGTTTGTCTCCTTGAGAAAACAATGGTCATATTGAGCAATTAGCAGTTAAATTTTTCACCCATGTTGTCCCCCGCCTTTTTGAAGAATAAAGTGGGATATAGAAATAGGCTCCGTCCGTCCATTCAAACCCAGAGGTACTTGTGTGACTTGGAGAACAATAGGTAACAGTGCATTCTCTTTGATCCTATTCATTCCATTTTTACTTGTGTGTCTTTTTTTAAGCCTTGTGTGACTAAAAATGGCTAAAGAGATCAAAGGAAAAGTCACATTAGCACCACTTTGTACGTACGTCCGTCTGTCCATCCATTTGTCCACACTACCGAATAGGGTTAGAGGGCCATTTAACTGTAAACAGAATAGAGTTCATTCCATAACAAAATAGAGGAAGGGCCAATGGCCCTCTATGAAACAAAAGAAAAAAAAAATAGAAATGGCCCTTTATCCCAATTTGGTCGCACATCTGTCCGTCTGTCACATTTTTGTGCCCAGTCCATAACTATGTCATTTATCAAATGAATTTAAAAAACTTGGCACAAAAGTTCATACATTAAGATGATGCCCAAAATTAGGCAAAATCTGATCTCTCCTGTTTCAGCGTCCTAAAACCAAACAAAACAAATTTATGATATAAAAGACCTTTCAAGATGGACCACTTTAAAACTGGGAAAGAGTATTAAAAACTTTAGATATTGTTTGCCAGTCTCCGTCACATACAGGTTTTGTGAGACTGAAGGAGTCTGGGGTCTAACATATAGTTCATTTAAAAATGACGGCATGCATAAAAAAAGACACTGAAAATTTCTTTATTTTTTAAATCATTTTATTTGAAGTTTATACATTTAAAAACAAGTGCAGTCTATAGTTGGGCATGCTAATACAGTCTATGACTTCCCAGTTCCTTCATAGTTTAGAAATATTTAATTATGTTCCTTTTCAATATTCACAGGCAGTGCGTAGTCTATGGCCTTGCAAGCCCCTGACTTTTGCATACATTAGAGAGTATATGCTATTTGCATTTGTCAGGTTTGTTTGGCTGGTAAATTTTCAGTAATGGTTTGGGAGATAGAAATTTTAAGTGTGCTGCTTTTAACTTTTTAATATTATATAAAAACTACTTTTATATATTATAATTTCAGATGCAAGGTGTTTACGTGAAAATTATAAGATAGTTGGGACCCTGATTGGATGTTTACCAAGAGCTCCTCGTCAGAATGCCCAGTTAGGTTTACCACTACAGTTAATGCCAGAGGAAGTTAGGCTATTAATAGATATTGGTATGTCAGTTTCACTATTTTACTTTTTCTATTACATATTTTTTAATAGAATATGATAATTTAACAAACACTGGAAGGTTCTACTTGGGTGCCAGCATGACTTGGTGCTTCCTTGAAAACTTCCACGGAGATGCTTGAAAGTTTCCATAATAACTATCACCTGTTAAATATGTGATACATTTGTACAAAACTATTATTTATTATTGATTCTGTGTACTCCCAAGTTAGTCAATCAAGCAACTCTCCCTCAGAGTTTTCATTTTTATCTGAGGCAACAGATGCTCCAAAGAAAACAACAAATTTTGCCAATGGTCAAGGGTGATACTTTAATATACAGGATGAAAATACAACCGATTTTAACAGCATTTTAACTGATGGTTTGGATCGCCATATAAATGAAAACCCTGCTCTCTAGCTTTATTATTAGACTAATAATCATCTATAAAATGATTTTTTAGTCATTATGTTTTAAATTTATTGTTATTATTTTTATTGTCTGTGGCCAAGTGGTAAAGGTAATTTACTTTCAACCACTTGCCCCTCACCACTGTAGGTTTGAATCCTGCCAGGGACTTTGCATTATGTCATGTAAGGAAGCTGTCCAGCTAACTTACAGAATGGCTGTTGTTCCACCCAGGTTTCCGCTTGAGCCTGAAATAATGCATGTAGGTGCCTCTGAGGTCTTCCTCCACTAATAAAGCTGAAAAAGTTGCCATATGATCTTTGTTGGTGCGATGTGAACCATGTTATCTTTAAGTTAAAAAAAATTAAATGCATACTTGCGTTTTAGTTTCTTTTAAAGGATAAAAAAATTTCAGCCATTTAGTTCTGTTTATTTTGTCAAATCTATATTTTTTTTAACAACTTCACAAATTAAGACAATTACTTCAAAATTTAATGAATTGTCAGAAATATGACCTTTATTGGACTGTAATGATATTTATTTTATCTTTATACAGTTTTCAGGGATCTTTTTAGACCCCTGGTGTTACTTTTGTTTGTAAATCGTAAAGCCAAAATCATCTTTTCTGTTTTGGCGCTGTATGACCTTAATTTTGTTGGTGTGTTGTAAAACCATACAAAACAAACAAAAAACAAAGCAGGGATCTTAATTGCTGCTGTAAATTTATGATAGAAAAATTTCAATTACTAAACCCTTAACATTCTTAAATTTTACTGCAGCTTCCATTTTTAGCTCACCAGAGCCGAAGGCTCAGGGTGAGCTATTAGTATCAAAGGGGGATACCCTGTCGTCCGTCGTCATGCGTCAACAATCGTCTTCTTCTCTGAAACTGCTGGACAGATTTACTTCAAATTTGGTCTGTAGCATCCTTGAGACAGTCACACTTGAATTTGCTCATGCCATTTCAATTGGCCCCTTTTAGGGGTCAACAGAGCTAAAAATAGAAAAACCTTTAAACATCTTCTTCTACAGAACTAATTGATGGATGATCACCAAACTTTGTCTGTAGCATTCTTGGGTAGTCTTTTATCAAGTTTGCTCATATTAATTTGATTGGCCCCTTTTAGGGGTCTCTAGAGTTAAAAATAGATAAACATTTAGACATCTTCTTCTACAGAACTAATGGATGGATGATCACCAAACTTTGTCTGTATCATTCTTGGGTAGTCTATTATAAAGTTTGCTCATATCAATTTGATTGGTCCCTTTTAGGGGCTGCTAAAGCTAAAAATAGAAATTACTATAAACATCTATATCTAGAGAACTAATTGATGGATGATCACCAAACTTTGTCAGTAGCATTCTTGGGTAGTCTTTTATCAAATTTGCTCATATTAATTTGATTGGTCCCTTTTAGGGGTCTCTAGACCTAAAAATAGAAAATCATTTAGACATCTTCTTCTACAGAACCAATTGAATGGATGATCACCAAACTTTGTCTGTAGCATTCTTAGGTAGTCTTTTATCAAATTTGCTCATATTAATTTGATAGGCCCCTTTTAGGGGTCAAGAGAGCTAAAAATGATATAAACATTTAGACAGCTTTTTCTACAGAACTTTTTGATGGATGATCACCAAACTTTGTTATTAGCATTCTTATAGTAATCTCTTATAAAAATTGCTCATATTTATTTGATTGGCCCCTTTTAGGGACTGTTAAAGCTAAGATACCCCAGACCATGGCATTTCTTCAAATTATAGTTTAATGAAAGGGAAACAACTCATGCTGGAATTTCTTTCATAATGTGAATGACCTGCTGTTTGCTGATGAAATTATTTGAGATCATGACCTCTTTATGAAAAAACTTAAGCACATTATAACAAGATAAATAAGAACTTAGTATCAAGCTTTATTTGGTTTCATTCATATTCACTTAATTACATCACTTCATGCAGTTTTTTCTCTAGAGAGCGTTTTTCTGCGTTTTTTGACACAGTACTTTTGCATTTGATGCGGTTATATTATAGCCGTGTGTTTTTCCGTGACGCATATTTTTTTGCGAGCGTCGTAATATATATTTTCTTCTATAAATAGCATGAATTTCATCCGCTATCGGTCACATGATTTATCTTAGACGCTTTAGTGATTATTACATGTTAAAAGCGCTGAGGCGGCTTCAGATTGTGACGTCATTATCCGGGTAAATTCACAAATGTCCTGCTTTTCGAAAAAAACAGGGCCAAGATTTCATTCTTCAATAAAAACTATGTTAACGGTTGATTGGAGCGGCAGAATCTACCATAAACAACTCTGGCGCCTATACCAAAAATAAGGTTTCCCAACCAAATCAAATCGGCGAATGCTGAAAACAACTGAGGAAATCAAGCAAAATGATAATGCTCCGAAGCGATTTTTTCGTAAGGGAATTTTTTTTGGTATTAAAATTGACTTGCACACAGTTTGTATTACTGAAAATAAGACAAATCATTCACTTCGGGGATGCACAAACTTTAGAGAGTTTTTAGTAAACCGTATGGTACTTTGGTTACGGCACAGACGCTTGGGGTCAGATCCCTGCCCCCCCCAACGTGAATACGCCCCTGTAAACACTCTACCAAAACTTTTTTAATATTTTAAAACACGAATGGGAAATCTATTACAACGATAAAAATGGTTTTCAAACAATTTTTACATATATGGAAAAAATACCGTAACCATCAAGTCTCAATAAAAGTAAAGAAATTGGCAGACTCCCAAAATGTAAACACACGATAACCCTTGTATAAAAACCCCCTTATAAATCAAATTATTAAATGAACCTTACCCCCGTGAACTTTTACGGTGTAAATCAAATTAGAAAATAGAATTATCCTCCTAGATGCAATCAAGAATAAACACATTTATACATCTCAAATTGTTATATGAAAATCAACATTTAATTAAAACCGAAGTAAAATTTTGCCGTTCTTGTCCAACCCAATACGAGACCCCTGATTTCCCCGCCTGCGTTAGAAGCGCTTGTCAAGCCGGTAATCCAAAGGTGTAACATGCTTTTCGACTAAGATATCTACTCGGAGCCATTCATTCTAATGGTCCAAATTCCAGAAAATTTTAAAAATTGTACCCATTATATAGAAAAAAAAAAACTTGGGAAAAACACACTGTGCAATCTTGGTAATATTTTATTACAAATAAAAAAAATGGTTCCTTTTTAAAACAACAAAGCCGGGGGTTTTTTTTGGCAGAACAGCTAATACGCGGGACATGAGGAAACAATGTAATTAAGAGAAACATACAATTTGATATTCATAGTATACTTAGTTGTTTTGAAGTTATCGGGATACCAAACTGTAAATTTAAGGATATTTTACATGAGAATTTACAATTAATTGAAGGGTTTATCATATACAGGGGTAGCTGAGGTGGTAACTGAGGGATATATAAAGCCAACTGTGGAGGATATCAGAAAATATGAGCAGAATAAAGAAGAAAGTTATAAAGAGCAGGTAAGAAACAATACAGAAATTCTGAGTTCTTCTACTAAAAGTTTCTGAGCAATTTCTTTTCAGCCTATTTACTGATTCAGTTTGGTTGCCAATATTTGTGATGCCTCTTTAAGAGTAACTAGCAGTTGGTTCAGTGGTGATGCTGGTTTTTACAGTTTTATTATACAAAAAATTAGTATTATAAATGATAGTGTGGGGGATTGAAATTGTGGTCCCTAGATCACTAGTGGGCATGAGAATAATTATGTAATCAAAGTTTTGACTGTATGAAATTAAATTTTACTACCGTTGTTGATTATGCATCAGTCTTTCAAGCAAACAACGAATTTGGCCATATACACTTCAATTTGAATTGGGCATACTTTCTGGAAGTATGTTTTTCCTTGCAAGGATAAAACTGGAATACAGTGAATTTAGTTATTGATGGATGATTTCAGATTGAATTGTTCCGAAATGACAGACGAGATGAGATACGACGTAAACTGCCGGACATTATAGAAGGCAAGAAGAAAAAGAGAAATAAACTATTGTTAGAGAGGCGAGAGAAAGGTGAACACATAGATGACGCTGAGTTTGAAAAAGAAATAGAAATGAATGCGGACTCAGTGGAGATTCCACCAATACGTCGTGAACACATGCTGCTTCAAATTCATGGAGGTATTAAATGATTGTTGTATTGCTTTAGTCACACATTGACTTTTCAGTTTTACTAGTGGAAGAAGATGTCAGTTTGATATCAAAACAGTGGTCAGATGAGTACAGCTACAGGTTTTTAGCTCAGCTATACAAAGTATGTGGAGAGCTGTCTAACTCGCCCCATCGTCTGCGTCCAATCCAGATTTCAGATAAAGTTTTGGTGCAGTAAAATATTTTTTCAATATAACTTTTTCATTTCAAAGGTATCAACTTCAAACTTCAAATATATATTCCTGATCATCAACCACATCCTTTGTGACAAGGTTCATAACTATAGCACCAAGATTTATCTCCCCTTGAACTTAGAATTTTCGTAAAAAAATATTTTTTTACTGTTACTACTTTTGTTATTTCTTAAGGGAAATTCATACTTCAAATATATGTTCCTTATCATCAATCACATCTTATGTGACAAGGTTCATAACTCTAGCACCAATATTTTCATATTTATCTCCCTTTGAACTTACAATTTTTTTAAGAGATATTATAATTTCTTTTCTTTTTAATTAAGGTATCTACTTCAAATATATATTTCTTTGTCTAACACTATCGGAGATTCTTCTATATATAAAAAGAAGGCCCGAAGCATGCAATATTCTACAACAATGCACTCGCCGTTCTTATTATCTCCCTGTGTATTTTCACATTGAGGGCACCATTTTGTTTGAAAATCTGATATATAAAACAATTTTTTTGTGTAATTTTGTTGTGAAAACTCGGCCTTCGAGATTATATTACTACGCATTTGAACTCAAACCGTGCATTATTCTACAACAATGCACTCAGAATTGATATCTATTTCCTAATCATTACACACATGTTGTGTGACAAGGTCCTTAACTTTAGTGTGACTATTTCCAGAATCATTCCCCCTTGAACTTGGAATTCATGTTAACAACTATAAGTTCTTGTCATAAGAAGAAATTAATTAATTTAAGAAATTTAAAAAAGAAATTTAAATCATAATTGATTTTTCTTTCAATATTTTTTCTTCCTTACTGCGTCCAGTATTTAATTAGTCCAGCTTCGGTGTCTTCTGTGACAGCTCCTGTTTGTTAAGGCACAGGGGTAAGGGACTGCTGATGGGGTATGGGTGTTTTCTAAAAAAATTCTTTCTTTTTTGTATTTGGAAACTTAAAATCTACAGTGCTAACTTGCTTATCCAACATTTCAATAGCCTATTTTATCAAATGAATATTTATAATATTATAATTTATAATATAATGAACAATATATGAAATATTCCTCTGCATACAAATTATCAGAGTTATTCACTTCAAACTTGATATATACGTTCACTATCAAAATATGACATCATTTCAGAAGGGCAGATAATCCTAAAATACAGGCAGTTAATTTTTTAATTCATTTTTAGCTCACCTTGCACAAAGTGCAGGTGAGGTTTTAGGATGGCCAACCAAATGGCGTCCGTCGTCTGTCGTCCGTCCACATTTTAAATATCCTAAGGACATCTTCTATGATACCGCAAGGCCAATGTTAATGAAACTTGGCAGGAATACTCTTTGTATGAAGCTCTATCAAGATTGTTCAAAGAATTCCATTTCATGCAGAACTCTGGTTGCCATGGCAACCGAAAGAAAAATCTTTAAATATCTTCTTTTAAAGAACCGTAAGAGCTAGAGCTTAGATATTTGGCATGAAACATCTTCTAATGAGTGTCTACCAAGTTTGTTCAAATAAAAGCCCTAGGGTCAATATTGGCCCGGCCCCAGGGGGTCATTGATTTTCCCTATATGCATATAGTAAAAACTTAAAAAATCTTTTTTTAAAGAACCCAAAGAGCTAGAGCTAAGATATTTGGCATGAAACATCTTCTAGTGAGTGTCTACCAAGTTTGTTCAAATAAAAGCCCTGGGGTCAAAAATTGGCCCCGGCCCGGGGGGTCATTGATTTTCCCTATATGCATATAGTAAAAACTTAAAAAAATCTTCTTTTAAAGAACTGTAAAAGCTAGAGCTTAGATATTTGGCATGAAACATCTTCTAGTGAATGTCTACCAAGTTTTTCAAATAAAAGCCCTGGGGTCAAAATTGGCCCCGCCCTAGGGGGTCATTGATTTTCCCTATATGCATATAGTAAAAACTTAAAAAATCTTCTTTTAAAGAACCCAAAGAGCTAGAGCTAAGATATTTAGCATGAAACATCTTCTAATGAGTGTCTACCAAGTTTGTTCAAATAAAAAGCCCTGAGGTCAAAATTGGCCCTGCCCCAGGGGGTCATAGATTTTCCCTATATGCATATAGTAAAAACTTAAAAAAATCTTCTTTTTAAAAAACCCAAAGAGCTAGAGCTAAGATATTTGACATGAAATATCTTCTAGTGAGTGTCTACCAAGTTTGTTCAAATAAAAGCCCTGGGGTCAAAATTGGCCAGCCCCGGGGGGTCATTGATTTTCCCTATATGCATATAGTAAAAACTTAAAAAATCTTCTTTTAAAGAACCGTAAGAGCTAGAGCTTAGATATTTGACATGAAACATCTTCTAGTGAATAACTACCAAGTTTGTTCAAATAAAAGCCCTGGGTCAAAATTGGCCCTGTCCCAGGGGGTCATAGATTTTCCCTATATGCATATAGTAAAAACTTAAAAAATCTTCTTTTAAAGAACCATAAGAGCTAGAGCTAAGATATTTGACATAAAACATCTTCTAATGAGTGTCTACCAAGTTTGTTCAAATAAAAGCCCTGGGGTCAAAATTGGCCCCGCCCCAGGGGGTCATTGATTTTCCCTATATGCATATAGTAAAAACTTAAAAAATCTTCTTTTAAAGAACCGTAAGAGCTAGAGCTTAGATATTTGACATGAAACATCTTCTAGTGAATAACTACCAAGTTTGTTCAAATAAAAGCCCTGGGGTCAAAATTGGGCCTGTCCCAGGGGGTCATAGATTTTCCCTATATGCATATAGTAAAAACTTAAAAAATCTTCTTTTAAAGAACCATAAGAGCTAGAGCTAAGATATTTGACATAAAACATCTTCTAATGAGTGTCTACCAAGTTTGTTCAAATAAAAGCCCTGGGGTCAAAATTGGCCCCGCCCCAGGGGGTCATTGATTTTCCCTATATGCATATAGTAAAAACTTAAAAAATCTTCTTTTAAAAAACCGTAAGAGCTAGAGCTAAGATATTTAGCATGAAACATGTTCTAATGGGTGTCTACCAAGTATGTTCAAATAAAAGCCCTGGGGTCAAAACTGGCCCGTCCCGGGGGTCATTGATTTTCCTTATATGTGTATAGCAAAAACTTAAAAATCTTCTTTGAAAAAACCCAAATAGCTTGAGTTTAGATATTATACATGAAACATTTTTAAATAAATATCTACAAAGTTTGTTCAAATAAAAGCCCGGGGGTCAAAATTGGCCCTGCCCCAGGGGTGTCATTGTTAGCTCGACTATTCGATAAGAATAAGTAGAGCTATTGTAGTCACCCGAGCGTCGGCGTCGGCGTTGGTGTCCGCGTCGGCGTAACCACTTATGTTAAAGTTTTTGTAATAGTTCAAATATTTTCAAAGTCCATTGACATATGGCTTTGAAACTTGGCACACTTGTTCACCATCATGACCCCAACCTGTAAACAGGAGGAGGTAACTGTATCAAGCATTTTGACAGAATTATGCCCCTTTTCGACTTAGAATTTACGTTAAAGTTTTTGTAATAGTTCAAATATTTTCAAAGTCCATTGACATATGGCTTTGAAACTTGGCACACTTGTTCACCATCATGACCCCAACCTGTAAACAGGAGGAGGTAACTGTATCAAGCATTTTGACAGAATTATGCCCCTTTTTCGACTTAGAATTTACGTTAAAGTTTTTGTAATAGTTCAAATATTTTTCAAAGTCCATTGACATATGGCTTTGAAACTTTGCACACTTGTTCACCATCATGACCCCAACCTGTAAACAGGAAGAGGTAACTGTATCAAGCATTTTGACAGAATTATGCCCCTTTTTCGACTTAGAATTTACGTTAAAGTTTTTGTAATAGTTCAAATATTTTCAAAGTCCATTGACATATGGCTTTGAAACTTTGCACACTTGTTCACCATCATGATCCCAACCTGATAAACAGGAGGAGGTAACTGTATCAAGCATTTTGACATAATTATGCCCCTTTTTCGACTTAGAATTTACATTAAAGTTTTTGTAATAGTTCATATATTTTCAAAGTCCATTGACATATGGCTTTGAAACTTTGCAAACTTGTTCACCATCATTACCCCAACCTGTAAACAGGAGGAGGTAATTGTATCAAGCATTTATTTTACTATCAAGCACTAAGAATAGTCGAGCGTTGCTGTCCTACCGACAGCTCTTGTTTTTAACTATATGTGTATAGTAAAAACTTAAAAAATCTTCTTTTAAAAAACCCAATGAGCTAGAACTTAGATGTTTAGCATGAAACATCTTCTTATGGGTGTCTACCAAGTCTGTTCAAATAAAAGCCCTTGGGTAAAAATTGGCCCGGGGGGGGGGGCTATATACAGGTGAGCGACCTCAGGGCCATCATGGCCCTCTTGTTCTGAGTTATGCCCCTTTTTGACTTTGAATTCTTGTTAACTTTAATGTTAAGGTACATTTCTTAAAAATTGTCAAAAATATTCACTTTTAAAGTTACATTAAATAAATTTCATAAAAAACTAAATAGCGACATTTCATTAATAAAGTTGGTTTTATATCGACTCCAGGTCTTATTTTGGTGTCCAAACAACCAAAATGAGTTTTATTAGCATAAAAATAGGTAACCTCATTGTGGCGAAATGGGAAATACAATTTCTGTTTGCATGAGAAACTCCGCCTTCGGATCATCCGTTAAATCATCAATCATGACTATAAGTAGCAGTCCTAATTTAACGGTATATTTCCGCATTGTAACGGATGTTTTCATACAAATTTAATCTTTTTACGAGATTATTACTTTTACTGAACCCCAGGTTTAGTGCACCGTGAACCTTAAACGGTTAAAGTGTGTTTGCACAAGAAAATATCACATTTGCTGTGTTCGGATAGCAACTATAAAACTGTGACGTAGCGCGTACATGAGCTCATTATAGCCTTCATTTGCATGTTAAAATTCGTATACGAACTTTAGTGGTACCATGGGGTTTCCCGTTTAAAATCCTTATTTATGAACAATATTTGATGAGATTTACAACAATACTATTAAACAGGTTAATGAAACTGTAGAATGTTTGATTTTAAGGCCGACGGCAAAATATTTTTACATATTTATTTAATGTAACTTTAACTTGTTCACTGTCAAATTTGAAATGCATTTGTTTAGGGAAGGTAACTCTGAAAGCTTTTTTTGCTTTATAATATCCCTTTTTTGACTTAGAATAATTGCCTTTTTCTCAAATTCTGTTGAAGAGATTCACCTTAAACTGTGAACTTCAAGGGCAGTTAAGTCTAATGTTTGCAGAGTTATACCCACTTTTCTATGACGCTTTTATTTTACTATCCAGCACTGAGAAAAATAGAGCGCACATCCACATACAGGATTTGCTTTTAAAGTGACATTATGCTTATTTTTATACGCCCGTTTGAAAAACGGGACGTATTATGGGAACGCCCCTGGCGGGCGGGCGGGCGACGTCCAATTTTGTCCGGAGCATATCTCCTACATGTATGGAGGGATTTTAATGAAACTTCATAGAAATGTTCACCACTATGAGAAACAGTGTCGCGCACATGAACCAGGTCTCTAGGTCAAAGGTCAAGGTCACACTTAGAGCTCATTGAAAAATGCTTGTCCGGAGCAAAACTTCCACATGTATAGAGGGATTTCAATATAACTTGGCACCATTGTGAGGCGGAGTGTCGCGCGCAAGATTCAGGTCCTTGCGGCCGCCAAGGTCAAGGTCACACATAGAGGTCAAAGTTCAGATAAAAATATGAAGATGTGTATATGGACCATTTAGTCATCATTTATTGAGGGATTGTAACACAAATGGTCATTATCAAGACTATGGCTGTGATACATATAATTTAGGTCAATATATACAAGGTCAAGGTCACTAAAGATGATGAAATATCCAAATTTTGTCCGGAACATATCTCCTACACGCATAGAGGGATTTTAATGAAATTTCTTAGAAATGTTCACCATTATGAGAAGCCATGTCACGCACATGAACTAGGTCTCTAGTTCAAAGGTCAAGGTCACACTTAGAGCTCATTGAAAAAGGCTTGTCTGGAACAAAACTTCCACATGCATAGAGGGATTTCAATATAACTTGGCACAAATGTTCACCATTGTGAGGCGGAGTGTCGCGCACAAAATTCAGGTCCCTGCAGCCAAGGTCAAGGTCACACATAGAGGTCAAAGTTTAGATAAAAATATGAAGATGTGTATAGGGACGATTTAATCATCATTTATTGAGGGATTGTAACACAAATGGTCATTATCATGACTACGGCTGTGACACATGTACTTTAGGTCAATATATGCAAGGTCAAGGTCACTAAAGATGGTGAAATATCCAGATTTTGTCTGGAGCATATCTCTTACATGTATGGAAGAATTTTTATAATACTTTATGGAAATGTTCACCACCATGATATGTATTGCTCCATGCATGATCCAGGTCTCGAGGTCAAAGGTCAAGGTCACACTTAGAGCTCATTGAAAAACGCTTGTCCGGAGCAAAACTTCTACATTCATAGGGGGATTTCAATATAACTTGGCACAAATGTTCACCATTGTGAGGCTGAGTGTCGCACGCAAAATTCAGATCCCTGCGACCAAAGTCAAGGTTACACATAGAGGTCAAAGTTCAGATAAAAATTTGAAGATGTGTATAGGGACCATTTAGTCATCATTTATTGATGGATTGTAGCACAAATGGTAACTATCATGACTACAGGTGTGACACATTTAATTTAGGTTAATATTTGCAAGGTCAAGGTCACTGGAGATGATTAAATATCCAGATGTTGTCCGGAGCATATTTTCTACATGCATGGAGGAATTTTAATGTTACTTTATAGAATTGTTCACCACCATGAGACGTAGTGCCCTGCACATGAACCAAGTCTCTAGGTCAAAGGTGAAGGTCACAGTTAGAGCTCATAGAAAAACGCTTGTCTGGAGCAAAACTTCTACTTGCATAGAGGGATTTCAATATAATTTGGCACAAATTTTCATCATTGTGAGGCTGAGTGCCGTGCATAAAATTCAGGTCCCTGCGACCAAGGTCAAGGTCACACATCCTGTACAGATCTTCCCTACTGATTTGTTTTAAGGTTCATTTAACAACACAGTGCCAAGAATAAAAACTTGCTTGCTAGATAACACTTATCCATAATGCCCCCATCTCCATCTAAAGCTTTCGTAAACAGGCCTATTTTGTGACTATGGCACCCTTGTTTCACTGTCAAGTTGCATTGAATTAGTAATATTTTTGAAAAGATTCACTATTATAATGGTAAATGACCAATTATTGAAAATGAAAAATGATTAGGAGAGAATATAAAAACTACCTTAGTCATAAAAAGACTACCCCACGCTTTTTAAAAATTGGAAGATACCAAAACATTTCTAATGATATTTATAAAAATGTCCTTGTGGCAGGTTGATTATTGATTACTTTTCAATAGTGAATTATCAAATTGAACACAATAATGGCAAAATGTAAAGTTAATTTTACTTTTTACTTGTGCACTCACCATATACACTTGGACGGGCATGATGTCATTAATATTGATGTGATCAAAGTGGCTTTTGACTTGTTTGATATGGTAAGCAAAAATTTTATCAGATATAAAAGTAGCTTATAATTATACATGTGTTAATTTCAGTTTGTACGTTCAGACAAAAGTCCTGTCATGCTGTTGATTGGCAGTTCCCTTGTACCAATGAAGAGAAACTACGATACAGAGTTTACAGGGACTTCTGGGAACGCGGTCACTTTCTAACACTGGGTAGTAAATTTGGTGGGAACTTCCTTGTGTACCCAGGTAAATATACATTTTTCATTTTATTTGCAATTGTGTATGATTTGTCTGAATTAGGGAGAAAATTTTTTTAGATGCAATATTAGCAATGGCAATAAGTGGCCTAATGGTGTTTGCCTCTCAACCCCAAGAGTCATGGGTTCCAGCCTAATTTGGTCACGACCTTGTTGATCATGTTACATCAATCTGTACTAGTTTTGTTCCAGGAAGCAGAATTCAAAGTGTCAGATTCAAATAAGCTTCAATCTTCCATTACAATGAAGCTAAAATTATAAATACATATATTTAAACCAAGGAACTAGGGAGTACATTTTGGAGCTTCAATTAAGGTTACTTACAATGAATTCCCATTGCGATGTGTTGAAATCCAGAGCAGGAAAGTCATAAATCTGGTTGATGGATCTACTTAAGAACTTAGTCATGCTTGAAATCATTCAAACAGAAACAATATAGTTATCTTGATGATAATTTTGTCATAGTTAAAATGTTGACTTAATTGTACTGCCGTATTGAGACTAACATTCTGACATGTTGACTTAATTGTACTGCCGTATTGAGACTAACATTCTGACATGTTGACTTAATTGTACTGCCATATTGAGACTAACATTCTGACATGTTGACTTAATTGTACTGCCGTATTGAGACTAACATTCTGACATGTTGACTTAATTGTACTGCCGTATTGAGACTAACATTCTGACATGTTGACTTAATTGTACTGCCGTATTGAGACTAACATTCTGACATGTTGACTTAATTGTACTGCCGTATTGAGACTAACATTCTGACATGTTGACTTAATTGTACTGCCGTATTGAGACTAACATTCTGACATGTTGACTTAATTGTACTGCCGTATTGAGACTAACATTCTGACATGTTGACTTAATTGTACTGCCGTATTGAGACTAACATTCTGACATGTTGACTTAATTGTACTGCCGTATTGAGACTAACATTCTGACATGTTGACTTAATGGTACTGCCGTATTGAGACTAACATTCTGACATGTTGACTTAATGGTACTGCCGTATTGAGACTAACATTCTGACATGTTGACTTAATTGTACTGCCGTATTGAGACTAACATTCTGACATGTTGACTTAATTGTACTGCCGTATTGAGACTAACATTCTGACATGTTGACTTAATTGTACTGCCGTATTGAGACTAACATTCTGACATGTTGACTTAATTGTACTGCCGTATTGAGACTAACATTCTGACATGTTGACTTAATTGTACTGCCGTATTGAGACTAACATTCTGACAAAGTTTGATGAGGATCCAATTAATTTGTGTCCATATTTGTGTTAACAGTTTCAATTTGTGAACAATTAATTACTAACAAATGATTAACTATTGTAGCTAGGATAAAATACCCTATATAAGCACTACATATTGATTACAACATATTTGTCTTATTAGATAAATATATTACCCAAGGTCAAATTTAGTTTTGTTTTTTGTTCACTATATTTTCAGGCGATCCTTCCAGATTTCACTCGTTTTTTATTGCAATATGTAAACCCCACAAGGAAAAGATGACGGCACTAGATGTTGTATCAATGGGAAGACTCGGTACCAGCGTTAAAAAGACTGTTGTGATTTGTTCCGAGGACGAAAATGGACAGCTGTGTTACACTTCTTTACAATGGACAGGAATTAGCTGATAGCATATCTGTAACTACAAATCAAATAGTGTTAAGAATTATATGTGTTAAAAAGATGATAAATAGGAATATGTATATCATCTGTAATTAAAAAAGTAGGTGGAGATTGGCGTTGCATAAGGTATCATATACATGTATAACAACTTAAAAAGACAATGCCTGTTTGATATAAGTGGCATGGAACATGCTTTTTTCTCCACTGCAAGGAGGTGTGAGAGCACATGTAGAGTTGCTCTTGTCCATCCATCTGTTCATGCCAGCCAGCATAGCTCAATCGGTTAGAGTGTGAGACTTGTTATCTCGACATTGCGGGTTCAATTCCTGAGCTGGACAACTAAACTTACTTATCACTCTTTTAGATGAGACTTCAAACCGAGGACCGGTGTACGAGTGCTTTAACACTTGGCATGAGAAGCTTCTGGAATTGGGGCAACTTTCTGTATCAGTATATTTCACTAACTTCCAAAATATGAAATAAGTAATATTCTTTTGGAGGACTTGCCCATATAGGCAACCGGTGGCAAGTATGAAAAAACTCAAATACACACACTCCATTTGTCCTACTGTAGACTGACATAGCATGAATACGGGAGAATCTTGATTTAAGCAGCTATTAAATATCCAATAAATATCTGAACTGCAGTCAGTATGGCTTTATATCCGACATGTACTGCAATTTTTTGTTTCACTCACCTGATTTATTAACTTACATTGTGAAAACATGTCTTAGCATAATAAAGGAATGCAAATCATTCACTTTGTTTTTTTATGCCCCCAATACTTTGTTCCGTCATATGGTCATCATCAGTTTCACACATTCAACTCAAACTTTAACATATCATTATGGATATATCATATCAAAATGAACGTAAGATCAAATTTGGTCATGGTCTGATGATTTTTAACATTTATGCTCCTTGATGAAATTTTCAGTTTCCATTCATTATCTACCTAACAGTAGTACTCATTCAACTCAAATTCGACATAATATTATGGATATGTCAAATGAATGTTTAGGTCGAGTTCGCTCTTGGTTTGATTTTTTTAGCAGAATACTGCCCCTTCAACTTAAACAAAAATAAAGAATTTTCAGAGATCGTTCATTATCAAATTAAACATAGTATATGAGGGGTTATCCAAAAATTTGTGGACTTTCTTTGTTGCGTAAAATATATTTGAGATATTAATTTAAAATTCTTACACTGCTTAGAAGAATTAATAACAAATAAACACAGAAAAATTCATTACAACAATATTTAATTTTACATAAACACATGTAGGCGACAGCGGCGCACTCCAAAAAGTTATTGACGTCAACGTCATAATATTAACGTACAACTTGTGCTTCAACGTTACCCAGTCAATGACAGTTACTGCTTCTCAAAGTAATGTCCATCACAAAAATGGGAAGGGCTTAATCTAATGTTGTAAGAACTTGTTGCCCAACCAATTTGCATTTTGATATATACTCATTATTTGTATGATATGCTTGTAAACATGTATTTAATGCAATTAAATGTGTTTAAACTAACAAAAATTTATGATCGTGCGATTTTTAGCTCGACTTTTCTATGAAAAGGGGAGCTATCCTACTCGCCCCGGCGTCGGCGTCGGCGTTGGCGTCACACCTTGGTTAAGTTTTTCGTACCACCCCACTTTATTTCAGAAGTATTACAAGTATGGCTTTGAAACTTACCATACTTGTTCACCATCATAACCTCCATCTACAGACAAGAGTACATAACTCTGTCAAGGTTTTTGACAGAATTATGGCCCTTTTTTGACTTAGAAAGTGTATTGAGCTTGGTTAAGTTTTTTGTACCACCTCACTTTATTTCAAAACCATTGGAGGTATTGTTTTGAAACTGACCATACTTGTTTACCATCACGACCTTCATCAACAGACAAGAGGACATAACTCTGTCAAGGTTTTTGACAGAATTATGCCCCTTTTTGACTTAGAAAATACATTGAATATGGGTAAAATCCACTTATTGCCTTAACCCTTTGAGATATTGCTTTGAAACTTTTAATGCTATTTCACATCATTACCCCCATCTGTACGCAAGAGAAGGTAACTCTGTCAAGGATTTGTTTTAAAAATTAAGGCCTTTTATCGACTTAGAATCTTGGTTAAGTTTTTAGTACCAGTCCACTTTTTGACTGAACTGTTTGAGATATTAATTTGAAAGTTGGAATACTTGTTTACAATCATGATTCCCAAACATGTCCAGGAGAAGGTAATTCTGTCAAAGATTTTATTTGAATTATGGCCCTTAACTGTCAATGTTTTGTATTATAGGCAAGCACTAAAAAACTTAAAAAATCTAAAAAAATTCATTCCTATCCACTTGTTCACTTTACCATAAATTATGTCATATAAACATTGCTGTAATATTCAAGGGTATCAAACAACTAGTTATTTTTCTTTTTTTGTACTTGAAATTAAAATCAGTAGTATATGCATATTTCATATATCATATATACTGCTTCCTTGGCATAGATTTCTTTGAAAAATTATGTTATTATGTCATTTACCAAGGTGTTCTGAGTGACGTAAAAATACCTTATTCTCTCAAAGTGGGTTTAATACTATTAAATTTATTTAAGGCTCAACTCAGTTTTTTTTCTTTCTTACCAGCCCTCTTTTGACTTAAACATTTCAAACTTTGCTGCAGTGTTCAAGGGTATCACACAATTCAGTAAAATAATTCTTCACTAAATATCTTAATGCTCATGGCCATTGTTCACTTTAAAAATACAGAGATTCTTGTATTGCCTTTTACTGCAAAAACTTTTTTTATTGGCAAGCAATAAAAAAGTCGAGCGCGCTGTCTTACGGACAGCTCTTGTCTTATTACCGCGTGTCCGTCATTTACCCGTTGTAAACAATAAAGGCGTCTGGCGTTTCTAGCGATATCAACAAAAATAAACGGAAATGACATCCATTATTTTAAAGAATTACTAAAATGACATCATAGAAGAAACATATGCAATGTTTAACGGGTTTTCTACGTATTTGTTTTTTAGTTTTTTTAGCAAGAAATATACGATGACTTATTGCGTTTTTCTACCGTGCGCCTGGTGCTGTGTATGTGCTTATTTAAAGGCAATATAAAATCATTATTTATTGACGCAATTAACTGTTCCTTTCAAAATGTGTTGATAATATTCTACAAACTATGCTGATAAATTTTCATTACAATACACGTTGACGTTCAAGAGATATTTAAAAAGACCACGAATTTTTGGATAACCCCTCGTACATCAAAGAAATGTGCAGGTAAAGTTAAAATTTTGTCATGGTTCAATAATTTTTGGCAGTTATGCCCCATTAACTTTACATTTTCAGTTTCCGTTCATAGTATTCCCAACAGTTGTACATAACTACATATTCAACTCAAATTAAATATATGGATATGTCATAGGAACATGCTGGTCAAGTAAAAATTTGGTTATGGTTTGATGATTTCTGACAGAGTTGTCCCTCATGAACTTTGAAAACAGGAAAAAATTTTAGTTTCTGTTCATTATCTTCCCAACAGTTATACACCTTCCACTCAAATTTGACACATACATACATCTTAGAATTAAGATGGCCAAGTTTGAATTTGGTCAATGATTTTGGTCAAAGTTATTCTTAACGTTGGAAAAAATTTGAAATTTTCAGTTTCGGTACTCTTATCCTTATGTAAATGTATGTAGTAATTATCTTGGTTATAAATATGCAATTTACAAAAGGTTAACACTGAAAGTTTCATGGCCTTGTACATTGTATAAAAAATTGTTTGTGTCTACATTGAAAAGTTCAAGGGCTTTGAACTGAGAATGAAAAAAATAGCTTGTGCTAGTTTTAGTTTACGTGTTATTTCGCTTTAAGACCGATTTTGCAGTATTGTATCAGCATATTTCTACTGCGTTACTAACGCAGTAAGGGCTGTTTTTGCATATTTCGACCTCTTCTCAGTTATTTGCATAGATTGTAAGTACCGAGTGAAATATGTAAAAAACTTAAATTGTTCACCTCACAATATTTTACTATCAAATACATTTTCAAAATTTTTCGTGAAAATTAACATGAATCTGGAGGCCTGCTGCTTTAAACATTACAAACCAATAATTTTAAATTGAAGCAAAAAAATAACAGCAGCAAAGCTTGTTGTCCCCCGCCTTTTCGAAGAAAAAAGGGGGATATAGAAATAGGCTCCGTCCGTCTGTCCGTCCGTCACACTTTCGTGTCCGGTCCATAACTTTGTCATTTATGAAAGGAATTTGAAATAGCTTGGCACAAATGTTTATTATAATAAGACGATGTGTCATGCGCAACAACCAGACCCCTACCTCCAGGGTCAAGGTCACACTTGCTCATTCAAGGTCAAAATTGCCTATTTGAGGGTATATGTCGTGTCCGGTCCATAACTTTCTTATCTATGAAGGGATTTTGTAAATACTTGCCATAATTGTTCACAATAATCAGACGATGTGTCATGCGCAAAAACCAGTCACCTACCTTCAAGGTCAAGGTCACACTAGGAGGTCAAATATTAACATAGTCTGTTACAGGGTATATTTCGTGTCCGGTCCATAACTTTCTTATCTATGAAGGGATTTTGTAATTACTTGCCATAATTGTTCACAATTATCAGACGATGTGTCATGCGGAAAAAGCAGTCACCTACCTTCAAGGTCAAGGTCACACTTGGAGGTCAAATATTAACATAGTCTGTTGCAGGGTATATTTCGTGTCCGGTCCATAACTTTCTTATCTATGAAGGGTTTTTGTAAATACTTGCCATAATTGTTTCATAATAATCAGACGATGTGTCATGCGCAAAAACCAGTTGCCTACCTTCAACGTCAAGGTCACACTTGGAGGTCAAATATTAACATAGTCTGTTACAGGGTATATTTCGTGTCCGGTCCATAACTTTGTCATTTATCAAAGGAATTTGAGATAACTTGGCACAAATGTTTGTTATAATAAGACAATGTGTCATGCGCAACAACCAGACCTGTACCTTCAGGGTCAAGGTCGTACTTGTTCATTCAAGGTCAACATTGTCTATTTGAGGGTATATGTCGTGTCCAGTCCATAACTTTCTTATCTATGAAGGACTTTTGTAAATACTTGCCATAATTGTTAACAATGATCAGATGATGTGTCATGCCCAAAAACCGGTCACTTACCTCCAAGGTCAAGGTCACACTTGGAGGTCAAATACTTACATAGTCTGATACAGGGTATATTTTGTGTCAGGTCTATAATTTTTTCATAGATCAAAGGATTGTGAAAATACTTCGCACAAATAGTCACTATAATAAGAGGATGTGTCATGCGCAACACCTGCATCCCTACCTCCAAGGTCAAGGTCACACTTAGAGGTCAAAAATTAACATAGTCTGTTATAGGGTATATTTTGTGTTGAATCTAATTGTGTTGAATCTAGAACTTCTTCATAGTTCAAGGGATTTTGAAATAACTTGGCACAAATAGTCTTAATAATAAGACTAATGTCATGCACAACACCTGCTCCCCTACCTCCAAGGTCAAGTTCACACTTAGAGGTCAAAGCTTAACATGATAGATTTTTAAATTCCGTGTTTCATTTTATTTTTTTAACAAATTTATTGTTACATTTGCAGATCTAGCATTGATCATAATTTTGGACTGAATGTCCTGAGATCCATACCTCAATCTTTTGAAATAGCACAATTTTATGCTTCATATAAAACTCCCGGGGCGGGGGACTCTGTTACAAATTCTTGTTTTTATAAAATTTATTTCACATAAACATTTTATATTTATAAAAAAAAATATTAAAATATACACAAGAAACATGTAAAAACACAAATAAGAGTTGTATTGCAAGCCTCCCCTACCAGCTCACAATTTACTTTAGTATTTAAAAAAAATATCTTTTTTTTTTTAAAAAGTTGCCGTTTCTCTATACGTTATGGTTTTTGTTACCAAAGCAAGAATTATTTTTGATGTGAATGAATACTTTGCTTTCTACCTGCATATAAAGTTTTAACAACAAAATTTCTTTGAAAAATGCTTCTGAAGGATATAATACAACTCTTTAATATTTTTGCGGGATCAAAATTTCATGACAGACGAAAGGAGGGCAAACATTTACTTTAGTTCCCTGGTAGGGGACTCAATACAAATATCTCTTTAACCATCAAGTTATTCTATATATTTAATTGTTAAAGATGGTATTACTCCTCAATTTATTTAAATAATGACCTACAGCAATGTAGATTTTCAAGTTTTGCCTTTCATAATTTAAGTTACATTGTAATTTGAACTTATACTTTTCTGGTTAATACTTCTGTTGGTAGATAAATTATTTTCCCCTCTTATTACCCAAGCATTTGACATGCGGACAGAATTTCGGGCAAGTCGGTCAAAGGCTGCAAACAAACAGTTTATTGTTTATTATAGACCTTTGACTGTCTAACAACATAAAACAGATGATCAGTCTAAAATATACTGACATCCTTAAATAACTTGTTTCATCATTTTATGGTAAAAGGAAGAAAAACAAACAGGACGGTGATTTAGGGGCAAAAGTGTGGGGCAAAAAGGGCATGGTGGTGTGCCCTTTCATTCTGAGCTTGTATAAACATCCTTTTAACCTTCAAAACATTGTAATGTATTTCAATATATAATTACTGTCACTTTTGGGTGACTATTTCCTGTTTAAACTTATTAAGTTATTTGTCTTGATTACCTTTAAAAAAGCAACCATAAAAAACTATATTTTATAAAAAATATAAAAAATAAGATAAATATATTAAATACATGGTAAGTTAAACTAAGTTTAAAACTCCAATTAAATAATTCTTTGACTCACTTTACAAATATTTGATTCTTATAAAATGTGGCAATGATAAATTTTGGGCATGATACGGCACCAAAACTACTCTGTATAATAAAAAATAATAAAAAAAATACTGTAAAATAAATACATTAAAAAAAGAGATCATTAAAACACTGAACACACATGTGGTTATTTTTCAAGATAAAGTACACCCCTCAATGTACATGTCTTGCACATAGTCGCTTCAGCTGCTCACTTGTTGACTGCACTGTCCTCGACCTCTGGAATGTCTTTTTGTAGTTATGTTTAGGTATCACAGATTGTATTATTTCACAAGATATACTTTTAAGATGTTATCACAATCTCTTTAAATTCTTTTTACTTTTTCGTGTTCCTATAGAATCAGCTTTAACCTTCTTTACGACTATTGGGGTACAATCTTTCGAGCCGTGAAATTCACACAGGCACTTTATACAGAAGTCATAGCAACAGTCGGGATTTTGACATTTTCCTCGGTCCTGTATCGGCAATACTTTTGCTGGTTTGCGACATCTCGGACATTTTTGAAGTCTCTCATCATTCTTCAGACGGGCGCCAACCTAAATAGAAATTAAAGACAATTGAATCATTTGATTTTCTTTAACAAATCACAATATTAAATTCTAACATCGTTCCCCAATATTCTTCTGTAATACATAACCAAGCTTTGACAATGCATGAAAGGTTTCTACAGGAAGTTGACAGCTTGACATGTGACGATGACAGATCAAAAGACATAAAATAATTTAATAAACTGTAAATAACATTTAAATTGCATGCAGTTCAACAGATTGAATTTTAATTGATACTTTTCAGCATGTTACATTAGAAATTTAGAAAGAAAACATATTAATATTTCTTAAATTACAAAAATTAAATGTTTAAAAATCTCAATAAAATGGTTTGCAATTACTTCAGCCTTTGAAATTGTAATATTGAAATTGCTTTAAATGAGCAATATTACACTATGTGCTTAACCCGAATATCAATTTCACATGTTACAAAGACACTTGCCTTCAATGCTCATATTAAACAGTAAAATTAAAATGATTGGACGGCACTGACCATAAATATTTGATATTTCCAGGTTCATTCAGAAATCAGCAGTATACCAGAACATAGAGGGAAAAAAACTTAACAAAACTAGCACATTGTCTCTATATTCAAATCTAGTTCACAGTATACTTACTGCCATAAATTGTTCTGTAGTCGTTTTCACTACATCCGGACATGGGATTTGAACACTGCCTTGTAACCTGCTTATATTTTGTAATGCTGTTCGCTCGGCTTCTCTCGGTGCTAGTGTTCTTCTCTTACCAGCATTCTCCTGTGAAATCAAATGAAACCATGTCAGTAAAAAAATTATTTAAGCAGTATTTAAATTAGAGGTTTCTATAGGAAATAAGTGCTTTCAAAAGTAAAAAAAACCCCTCATTTTCAGGCAAACTTGTACAATGAAATGGTGTTGTATTAAATAAAACCAGCAATATTCTGGGTTCAAATAATAGTATTAGGAGTATTATCTATCATTTATGGATATTCTGTCTTCCTATATCTATTATCGGTTATTCTTAAGTTGTGAGATTGTATTAAAAGGTCAATCAAGCCCATAAAAATGCTATTTTTTTTATTTCTTAAAAGATTTTTATTTTTTGTGCCTTTTTACAGTTGGTACCCTGTCATTGATCATGTACATTTGTATAAGGAAGACATAATCATAATGGCTCACTATGAAAGGTATTAAATAAAATCATTATTTTATGCTGAATGAAATTCCGGTAATGTTATGTTAAACTGAAAAAAAACCTATAAATGTTAACCTTTGTTTGGGACATGCATAGTTGAACATGTTTATACTTTTTCAAACTTCTACTTACTTTTCCTACACTTTTCAGTTTTTCCTGATGATTTCGTAGGAATCGTCTTTTCCTTTGATGAGACGTTCTATCCGTTTCGCACAAAGATTTCCACTGCTTGCTGACTACACATATCCTGTAAAAAAATAACGTCAAGTTAAATAGATTGATCAAATCATCTCATGGATTGAAAGCACTGTGAGAAATAATAGTTACACTGAAAAAGTAAAATATGTACTAGCTGTAGGGTAACAGTGTTTTTTTTCTTTATATAACTACTACCCTAAAACGGTACCATTCCCAATAGAAAATAGACATTAAAATTCCCAATTTTCAATGTTAAATTCCCAAAATGGCTGTTCAAAATGCCCAAAAGGCCAAGTGATTTTTCTAAAATCATTTAAATCCAACATATTCATATCAATCACCACTCAATAGTTCTATTTTGACAGTAGAAGCTGTTAGCTATCTTTATTCATGATGTCTAATCTCATTTGTAGCTGAAAAAAAATGCATTTAAAAATTCCCAATTTTAGTCAAAATAACGCATTTTTTCCCAATCAGTCTGGTACCGGCACCATTCCCAAAGTAGAGAAAAAAACGCTGGGTAATAAGAACATATGGTCACAGTACATGAAAGAATCCAGTCACTTGACAGAATTTCACCAACCTAAGCAAATGAAAGTGAAATTTTTTCTAGCATTGATTTAGATTAACAAGTTTCTTACTTCTATAATTCTGCAACTATTAAATATATGTAGCTTTAAGCAGCTAAAATATTTTTATTCAAATGTTTATGAAAAAATTAAATTATTATAATGTATTATTTATATCGGTCACATAATGGCATATATACATCATTTATCTTGAGACAACAGCGAAAATCACCTTTAATTCAGTGTAGATTTATAGTATATAACAAACAGCATATTCTAACCTGCAAAGATCCGTGGGATCTAAATATGACAGTATTGTTGAAACACAACTTATGTTTCTAAAACTCAATTCTCCCAGGACATCAACATTTTCACATCCCATCTTTCTACCAATAAGACGATCACTCACTGCTGGTGAAAACTTCTGTAATATTTTATTGAAATGAGATGCCAAACTTGTTTCGTATGGAGGCGAAGAGTCTGTACATTTATCTTCATCATTTCTGTAAATGTTAAGATCAAGGTCTAACTTCCTGGAAACTCCTTTATTTAGTGATCTACATAAACTGCTGTCATCTGCGCTGACTGTTCTGTTACAAGATGTAAGACTATCGTACTTTTTAGAAGAACACAAGTCTAAACTTCTCCTGGCCGGATGTCTTCTAGATGACACAGGACTTACACAAATGTCTAATTTCGGTCCACAAAATGGTGGAATATCGACGCAACTAGCTGGAGTCTGACAGCTTGACCCAGTAACACTAATACCGAGCCCTGTAGCATCAGCTAAACTTGCAGTAGAAGTTTCAGAAATTGATGCACCTAGACCACTGTCATTTTCAGCACCAGAGCACACATTAACTGATCGTGTTCGCAATTTATATTCTTGAACATTGAAGAAAGGTGTACTTGTACTAAAAGATCTGTGTTTGTCATTTGACGGCAACTTTAACTGGTCAGCTTGCAAGAATGCACATTCATCCATGTTGATTTCTGTAAATCTGAAAAACAAATCAAGTATTTTAATGTAATTAAAAAAGAAAAATATTGAATTAACTTAAACTGTAATGGTTTTTGTGTTTTGAATGTCTTCAAATTCTTTCTGATTTTATATAAAAAAAGATAATTGTGGACATAAGTTTCAAGTCAACAACTATTTAAAAAATTTAGTTCTTAAAGGTGCAGTAAGGAATTCCAGGACACTGTCAAGAGTAAACAAACTTGATCATAAATTATGTAACCAGGAACTCCAGTCCAAACACCCTTACCAGCCATGAGCTTCAGCTGCAAAATGACATATATACACATTCTCCTTCTTAACAGCAACTGACTTACATCAGCAAATTGATCAATTTGCTAGAAAAACATGTCTTACACCCCCATGTAAGGCAAGTCGTGTGCTTTAAATGATGTCATTCCCACATGCCTTTTATGAATGAATTGCGTTCTTAGGATGACGTAAGTGTGCCCTTATGAATTAAGTTGTGAATTCATACACTACTATAAGAAAGAAGCACTAAATGAAAATATCAGTTTCATAATTTCCTTTCGTAATATAATTGATAAATAATTTGCAAGAAAAAAATCAAACACCAGTTGTCGGCACAGACAGGAATATCTAGCTCTCGGGTAACTGTTTAGACAAAACTCGGTAGAGCCTCGTAATCACTGTAAACAGTTACCTCTAGATATTCTGGTCTGTAGCGACAGCTGGTGTAAGATTTTTATAATATTTAGCTTAAGTCGTGATGGTCAATCTCGTAGTCTAGTCCAATATATTATATAATATATTATTAGACAATACTTAATAGTTTATGTCCATCAAGTTGTTGCTGTGCATAGAAACAAAAATATTTCAAAGCAGAGTCGTATTTATAGAACAGGCCTTTTTTTGAAAATTTTTCATAGGTTGGGGCAGTCCTGCCCTTATTTTGGTGAAAAATTACACGGTATATTTGCAAAAGGGGAAGAAAAACATGATGTAAATTCAATTTTTGGGGAAAACTGCATGATTTTAAAGAAATTTTCTTTGAGGAAGCAGCCCTATAATGGCCCCTGCCATAGAAGAAAAAAAAAGCCCTGTAGGACTACCTTGTAGTCATGTAATCAGACATTTTACTATTAGATGTGATAGAGTTCTGAATATTTTCACCAAATTATCCTCAGGTAGTTTATGTTCGAAATTGGTTTTTAAATGTTGATACTTGGCTTATTAATTATAATAAATCATTTTTAGTTTTATCAGCATAAGCTAAACCATATGAGTATGCTGAATACCTTAAGCTATGATGACGGGATCATGAACATTGAATGTTGTTTGCAGGATAAATAGACTTGTAAACGCATTCAACATTCCTTCAGGCAGTGCCAGTGGCTCTGAAAATAACCCCCAACCAATGAACCATCCCCCCCCCCAACTTTGAAAGAAAAAGAAAATACAACAAACTAAAATCTGAAGCTGATATTTGAAATAAGATGATATATCCCTGTTTGGTTTACTTAACAAATATGTTGTCATTCCTGCTTTATTTCCTTTAGCCTTTTTCAAAAAGAAACCGGCAAAACTAAAAATTACGAGAGATTCATTTTTTTTAATTAAACTCCATTCTTTGTGGGTAAGATTTGATTTTTTAAATGAAAATGTTAAATACTGAAATTTTTATGATACAGAAACATGAAAAATAGTTACTCGAATAGCGATCCTGAAATATTTTTCTTGTGTCAGTCTTCTTCTATTTGTCAAAATTTTAAGCTTTCCGCTCAATCTGAATTAACCAATGAGATTTCTTTATTTTGGGCGTTTGCAAATCAAATAACAAGCGTTTGTGTGAGACGCGCTTGATGTATTGTGTAACGAATAACTAAATATAACCAAACTATTTGAGAGTATTGGACTGATACACTTCTTTTCAATAGAATGTAAAATATATTTTGTCGAAATAATTATTCGTAATATCAAATTTGGGTATTTTGGTAGTAAGTGCAATAATAATTTAATATTATAAAACTGGTACAAGTCAACCCGGCCCCAAGTCAACCAGGCCTCAAGTGATATCGAATCCGTCCCCAAATTAGTCAATCCGGCCCCAAGTCAATCTGATATCTGGTCCACCCGGCCCTATTTTTAGCTCACCTGTCACAAAGTGACAGGGTGAGCTTTTGTGATCGCTTTTCGTCCGGCGTCCGTCCGTCCGTCGTCCGTCTGTCGTCCGTCGTCCGTCCGTAAACTTTTGCTTTAAATGACATCTCCTCATAAACCACTGAGCCAATTTCATCCAAACTTCACAGGAATGTTCCTTTGGTGGTCACCTTTAAAAATTGTTCAAAGAATTTAATTCCATGCAGAACTCTGGTTGCCATGGCAACCGAAAGAAAAATCTTTAAATATCTTCTTTTAAACAATCCTAAGAGCTAGAGCTTAGATATTTGGCATGAAACATATTATAGTGAATGTCTACCAAGTTTGTTCAAATAAAAGCCCTGGGGTCAAAATTGGCCCCGCCCCAGGGGGTCATTGATTTTCCCTATATGCATATAGTAAAAACTTAAAAAATCTTCTTTTAAAGAACCCAAAGAGCTAGAGTTAAGATATTAAGCATGAAACATCTTCTAGTGAGTGTCTACCAAGTTTGTTCAAATTAAAACCCTGGGGTCAAAATTGGCCCCGCCCCGGGGGGTCATTGATTTTCCCTATATGCATATAGTAAAAACTTAAAAAATCTTCTTTTAAAGAACTCAAAGAGTTATGGCTAAGATATTTAGCATGAAACATGTTCTAATAAGTGTCTACCAAGTTTGTTCAAATAAAAGCCCTGGGGTCAAAATTGGCCCTGCCCCAGGGGGTCATTGATTTTCCCTTTATGCATATAGTAAAAACTTAAAAAATCTTCTTTTAAAGAACTCAAAGAGCTATGGCTAAGATATTTAGCATCAAACATGTTCTAATAGGTGTCTACTAAGTTTGTTCAAATAAAAGCCCTGGGGTCAAAAATGGGCCCCGCCCCAGGGGGTCATTGATTTTCCCTATATGCATATAGTAAAACTTAAAAAAATCTTCTTTTAAAGAACCAAAAGAGTTAGAGCTAAGATATTTAGCATGAAACATGTTCTAATAAGTGTCTACCAAGTTTGTTCAAATAAAAGCCCTGGGGTCAAAATTGGCCCCGCCCCGGGGGGTCATTGATTTTCCCTATATGCATATAGTATAAACTTGTTGGGGGTGGGGGGGGGGCTATATACAGGTGAGCGACCTCAGGGCCATCATGGCCCTCTTTTATTATTAGTTATTTGCCGCTATTTTTTCTCCATTACCTATTTCTACTAAAGAAACAATGTGAGTAAAAAATCTTTGAATGCATTCTCTTGTGCTGTTTATCTTGATAATTATTCACATTATTTCCTGAATAGAAAAAAGATAGAAAGATTATAAGAAAAAGTGAAAAAGAAGTGCTATATTAATAATATAAAAACGTTTCTCTCTTCTCTCGATTTCGGGTCTTTACCTATAGACACAGTTTGTATAAGGGCTGAGTGTTGCGGACAGGTCTTTGTAGAGGTACATGTGGAAAAAGAAAACACATAGAGTAAGTATGGTTATATAAACCATGACTTATCCCTTTTTAATTATTCATCAGACAAGGAATTTACCTTATAGGCTATCTACTGTCCATGGGCAATGTCCCTTCGAATAAAATAAACCTGGACTTATTCCTTCTCATTGTATTGGAAAAACAAGGTTAACAGGCCGTAGTACGTACAAACTGACCCATTCGATCACAAAATTGTCTCAACAATGAGCTATAGTCAAAATTAATGTCTGATGGGCCTTGGAAGATAACTTTCTAATATGATCCTAGAGACAAGTTCAAAGTGAAAATCTTCAGTATTTTCAAAGATTAATGCTGCATGTAAAAGTAAGTTGTTAAGTTTAAAAAATCCTAATATATATAGTGTATTCTGATTGGTTAATTATCTCGTGGCCACGACTTAGAAACTCGTGGCCACAACATAGTATATCGTGGCCACGACTTAGCTATATCGTGGCCACGACTTAGTAACTCGTGGCCACGACATAGTATCTCGTGGCCAAGACTTAGCTATCTCGTGGCCACGACTTAGTAACTCGTGACCACGACATAGTATCTCGTGGCCACGAGATAAATAAAAACACACACACATGTCACCTTTGTGCCACCGTACAAAAGGTAAAATGAAAGAAGCAAAATATCGTCTAAAAACATGATAATTTAATTTAATAAAATATTATCTGAAAATCAATTTTGGGACCGGATTGACTGATTTTGGGGCCGGATTAACCGATTTTAGGGGCCATATTGACCAAACAGAAATAATGTGGGGCCGGATTGACCAATATTGGGGCCGGGTTGACTAAATTTGGGGCCGGATTGACTCGAAGCTGGATTAACTTGGGGCCATGTTGACTGTAATTCGATAAAACTAGTGTTGTTTTTTTTTTTTATTTTTTTTTAGATTTTGTAGATTCTTGCTTGACACAATTCAAAGGACAGCCCGTAATAAGTAATATGTACAAACATATGTATGAAGGTGTTTCTTTTTTTATATACATTGTATACATATTCTGGTCTAAATTTACAGGATATTTTATGAAAAATGTTAGAAAAAGATACATTTTGTATCAATAATTTCATTTGAAATGAAAATTATAAGAAACGTGGATACAAACTATTCAAATGAAATGTTAGATCACCTTAAAAATATTAAGCTTAGTGCATTTGAAGTGAATAAATTCCGTTAAAGATAGTTACCCAAATGCAAGGAAACAATTGATTAAAGAAAAATAACGGAAAGTTTCGTCCCTCTGCTACACAATTCAAAGGACAAAGTTCAAATTAAATAATACCTACACACATAACATAAATGGTATTTGTTTTGTACCAGTGCGAAATCAATAGTTGGTTAATGTTGAGTGAATGTTCTTTTCAAGTGTTATGTAGCACATAATAAAAAAGAAATAAAGAATAGGTGATAAACGAAAAAAATACTTTTCTTGTGCTTATGATATACATTATATATAATTTATTTTGCCTAGTAGCACCAGAAACACTTATCTATAACTCGACAACGTTTCCGTTTTGATATTCATGTTGAGAGTTATTAAGCAGTTTATTATGATGACACCTAAATAGTATATTCAACTATCATTTCATTTTTGTTGAACCTTTTTGCAGTTTTAAATTTGATAAAAATATGAATACATGTAAGCTTGGAGTACAGCTTGAAGTTTGCAACCAAATGCACTTGAACAATATTTTTAAAGATCCAGTAACACATTTTTTATGGTTTTATTTCATAAATATGAAGCTCAAATTAAGATTGTCTGTGTGTGTGTGTGTGTGTGTGTGTGTGTGTGTGTGTGTGTGTGTGTGTGTGTTTGCGTTTATTTATACTCGCCACCGGTTGCCCATATGGGCGAGTCCTCCAGAAGAGTATTAGTCATTTTATTTTTTGGAGGATAGTGCAATTATAGATACAGAAAGATGCCCAAATTCCAGAAGCTTCTCCTGGTTCTTTAGCGTGCCAAGTGTTTAAGCACCCATACACGGGACCTCGATTTAAAGTCTCATCCGAAAGACTGATTAGTAATTTTAGTTGGCCAGCCCGGGAATCGAACCCACAATGTCGAGATTACAAATCTCGCGCTCTAACCGATTGAGCTATGTCAATATTGTAAGTTCCAATTAATAAGCATTATTTATAAAGATATTACCCAATTTAACATTTCATGTAAGTAAAGGGAGGTAATTAGAAATGTATTTTCTATAAATTCTAAGTCAATTTTTTCAATAAGAAATAAATGCATGTAATTTATTAATTAAATATAATGTGCACAAATATTTGCAGTACACATTTTACATATTGTTCGATGTTTGAAAATTGTTTTATTTGCATAATTATATACAAATATAATTTTTTTGCAAGTGTGGTATACACACAGTAACAATATCAATCACAAAACATACAGGATCTTTAAATTTTTTATTGGAACTTTACTTGGGACATGCAAATCAAAACATACTTACAGTTTTGACAGAAACGCATTTTGTCTTTTTATATAACTTACAGATATAAATAAATGAGAAGAAAACACATATGTAGCACAAAATCACAATTCTTCTTCACCCCTCATGACAAGGATATAGGGATACAATGGTTACACAAAGACAACTAGCTAGATAAGTCAAATCTCAAAATATGCACATGACCAGTTTCCATCTTCCATAATATCGTCATATTAAAAGCAAGGAAACTGAAACCTAAAACCGCGTGTGTCATAAACATTGCTTTACGGAATAGGCATATTAAAAAACCTATATAAGCCCACTTACCTTGTGAAAATACGCTAGAGTGTTATAAATTTTCATGACTCGGTTGCCATTTTGTCAAATTTTCAACAATTTCTCCCGCTTGAACCATGTGTGCAGCCACTTCATGTCCTGTCCCTTGTTTTTCTGAAGGCTTTCTTTCTCTTTCGTTTTGTTTGGATTGTGTCGTCAATCTCCCGGAAAAAAACGCTATTTTTTGTAATGTTTCATAAACCAGTGGATAGAGTTGCGAAAATTCATTTCACAGAACAATGTTCTTTTGCCAAAAGAATTGTAAACGAACATCCCTATTGAAAAACCGGTGCAATCTTAGTGAAAGGTTTCTTATAAAGTTTTTGTTCTTTTTACATTTTTATCAGCATGTTTGTGTTTCTAAAACAATACCATTGAAGAGTGTTAGTAATATGAAATTATAATGAGTGATATATATTCAGTAGTGAAAGAAAATTCTGATAGTTACAGTATTGTCATTAGATTT